ACTATCAGCATTAATAAAGATGTGCAAGCTGGTTTAAAACGTAGCTGTAAATTTCTCCTCACTGTCCTGTAACAGATGGTAAGGTCTCATTCAGAGGTAGCAGATGTGAGAGGAACCATCAAGAAAGGGCAGAAATCAGGGAAGCAGGGGAGTCAAAAGAGGACTGCTGGGACTCGAACTCAAGCCAAGACAAAAGGTAAATCATAGTGCATTCACGACCAAACACTGAGAGGTAAACAAGACCTTTTCATTTCAAATGTGTATTTTTTGCAAACATATAAAATTTGTATGTTGACAAAACTATCATTATTTTAGCTGTCTACCACAGCATACTGGAGTTGATATTAAATAATGGCATTAATAACGACTTAATGATTTGCAGGCTTTAAGGCTTTCTGAGCAGTTACTTCCAAATCGGATGAACTCTGTAGGAATTAAAACCATTTCCATACAAAGGCTTCCATTTTTAGGGGCTCAAAAGTAATTGGACAATTGTTTCTTTGTCAGGTGTATGTTATTCCTTCATTATTTCACTTACAAGTAGGCATAAGAAATGCATTTCCATTGCATTTGCATTCGTAATCTCTTGTGGTTTACTCTCTATATTAAGTCCAAAGAGCTGTGACTGCCAGAGAAGAAAGCCATCATTAGGATGAAAAATCAAAACAAACTCATCAGCGCGATAGCAAAAACTTCAGATGTGGCCAAATCTTAATGTTGGACATTATTAAAAAGAACGAACGCACTGGTGAGGTCAGCAACATTAAAAGACCTGAAAGACCACAGAAAACAACTGTGGCGGATGACTGAAGAATTTGTTCCATGGTGAAGAAAAACCCCTTCAGACTAGCTAGACTGATCTACAACACCCTCTATAAGGTAGGCGTTTCTGTGTCAAAGTCAACCATCAAAAGAAGACTTCACCCGAGTAAATACCATAAGTTTACCACAAGCTTCAAACCACTGGTAAGCCTCAAAAACAGGAAGACTAAATAAGAGTTTGTCATGTTGTAGAAAGATCAACTTGTACCAGAACGATGATTAGAGTATGAGGAAGGGAAGTAACCGCTTAGGATCCAAAGCATACCACCTCATCTGCAAAGCATGGTGGAGGTAGTGTATAGCTTGTATAGCTGTCAGTGGAACTGGTTCCCTTGAATTTATTAATTATGTGACAGCTGACAAAAGCAGCATGATAAATTCTGAAGTGTGTACGGCTATATTATCTGATCAGTTTCAGCCAAATTCTTCTACACTAGTTAGAAGCAACTACTTCTAAAGCCAAACTTGTTGGCATTTTACAGTGCAGATGGACAATGACTTGATGCATACTGTGAAAACAAAAATGTTCTGCAATGGCCACATTAATCACCTGACCTCAATCTAATAGAGCATGTTTTTTGCTTACTGAAGGCAAAACTGAAATTAAGAATGCCCCAAGAACAAGCAGGAACTGAAGACAGCTGTTGCAGCATTACCAAAATAGAAACCCAGCATTTAGTGATGTCTAAGGGCTCCAGACTTCAGGCAGCCATTTGCAAAGGATTTGCAAACAAATGTTAAAAATAATAATTTAATTCATGCTTTTGTTAATTTGTCCAATTACTTTTGAATCCCTGAAAATGAGGGGACTAGGTATGAACAAAACTTTTTAATTTTTACACTTTTCATATAATTTGGATGTAAAAACCCTCAAATTAAAGCTGAAAGTCAGCACTTTCAGCTCATATTCTTTATTTAATTTCAACTGTAATACACTTTGGTAGACAGCTAAAACAACAATAACTTTGTCAATGTCTGAATATTTAGGAACCTGACTACATCTGCTGATACCAATGTTGTTACATAACACACAATGTAGAAAATGGGACTAGATCCACCTGGATTAGCATTATGGAGAAATCTAATAATTTGTAGAGGGCTACAAATACAGTACAATAAATAAAATTCAGTAACCCAGCATCATATAAATGCTTCTGGAGTACTATAAATATGCCATCAAATATCAGTTTGAAACTGTAGCCAAGTGTAATCATCTGTCTGATGCATATTTACCCATACCTTTTAACAATATGCATTTGCAGAAAACTGTCAAACCTTTATTCAGGCAAAATCTGCTCTTCATACCAAGCAGGACAATTTGATGAACATGAAGCTGAGTGTTACAAAATATACTCAAAGCATTAGCAAATACCTGTTTGTTGTTACTAAATGAACATTACCACTTGGAAAATCCCAAAAGAATGCAGTGTCCCCATACTTTTGATTTGTCAGTGTCTGCAGCAGGACAGTCTGATATGATTGTCCATTTCCCTAAAGCTAACTCCAGAAGCCCAGCGCCAGCGGCGGCTGTTGGAGATGCGGGCCCAAAGTACCACTTCCAGAACTCCACCTGTCCTGTGAGGACGAGAGGAGGAGAGACAGCTCCCTCTAGCCACCAACGCTGGAGTAACCCTGCAGATCCTGTCCAGGCCTGGCCTCCAGCCTACCACACCTGCCGCCGACCGCTCACAGAATACCACGCCCATTCCCATGACCTTGGCATGCACAGCATGCCAGGAAAAGATATGATCAACAGCCAGACCCTCAGTAGAGTCTCCTCTCCACAACGAATGGTCCACTCCATGACCAATGTGGATCTGTGTGGCACCAAGGCAGGTGGAAGCTTGAGTAGAAATCAGATTAGTTCCAGTGTAAGTAAAAACTTCTTCAGCTTCTATAGCAGATATCTGAATAATACCCTCCCTGAGAGCCAACAGAAAGTGTTTTTACTGATTAAAAAAGCTTTTATTTTATAATGGCTATGCACAAAAGCTAACCAAAACACTTCATGGTGTTACTGTACCTAATGAAGGCCTATTCCAGAACATACTGTCCATTGCTATGATGCAATAAAAGTTTTGTATTTTTGAGCCCCTTATTTGATAGCACAACATACAGTTCTGTGCAAAAGTAAGAGACTATTCTTCATGTATTTAATTTCCAGTCAAAATGGACATCAAGTTCATTTTTAGCATGATATAAAAGCAGAAAACAAATATTTAACAGAAAAGTAAACTAAAAATAATTTTTAACTTTTCAGCATAGTGTGTCCATCTTTTAACTTTATTACATCTTCCTTTCTTTTCAGTAGACTTGCTTTCAGTGTTTCAAAGAAATTGGCAAGGATATTTTTCCACTCCTCCAAAGTTCAGTCTGAGAAGCTGGTTGAATTTTATGCTTCTCACGATCCGAGTCACCCCAAACACATTAAGTGATGCTGAGGTCTGGACTCTGGGGTGGTCATTCAATTATTTTGAAAATACCAGCAGCTTCTTTGTTTCTTTTTCTGAAAACATCTTCTTGACAGCTATACATCCTTTCAGACTCACAGTGTTGAGTTGTCCTTCAAAGTGAAAGGCTGGATTGAAACCCCTGTGAATTTTTTCAGATATGAAGCAAGATGGAGCTTGATTTTCTCCTCTCTCAAAGACGAAAGCTTTAAGTACTGTTTATCTGATGGTGACAGATTTGGTGGTTTACCAGGTCTTGCATATAAACACCTCCTTAAAATGTATTTAATGGCCATTTTAACTGGGAAGTAAATAAATGAAAGGTGGTCTTTGACATATGCGCAGTACTGTACATAGTATGTGATAACCACTACAGCTTTATTAAGCTGATATTTTAAAATGCCACTTAGAGACTACAGTAGGCAGTGTAAATCACTCCAGCCATAGTGGTGGTCTGTTCATTCTTAGCGGTTTTAGAGTAAAGACCCACATATTCCACAGTGGTTATTCCACAGAGGAGGAGAAATCAAGGGTTACCCACATATAAAATACCACACAGAAGAACTATTTGACTGCATATTGATCTGATTCAAGTAAAAGACCAAGCATGTCTCTTAACTTTCAAACCATTATCTGCCTCAAACTATTATGGTGTTGTTATCAGACTGCTTGTCTATTATAATAAAGGCAGTAGGCTGCATGCTTTTCACAAAGAGCTCCAAAGAAAAGGGGGGCATGTGGTGTTTGTTTTTGTGGGCTTGCGTGAGCCTGAAGAAATAGATTATAGCTTCGTAATCCTGGATTGAGACTTTGGCATGACTGATTGCACACAGCTGGATTAGGCCATGTTATTGTCCAAAGGTTTTTCTTAAATACCATCGGTCAATTCTTTCTTGGCCTTGCAACACTGCCCCACAATTTAAAGCAGTCAATGTCATTTAAATGATGGCTCCAGTATGTACCAACCATCTGAAGAGAGGAAAAATATCAGCAAAGGTGCTGATAATCAGTAATCACAGTGTACACTAGATTTTAGCAAAGAATTAGTGGCATAAAACATGACAAAAAATGTGCAATTAACATCTTTTATATGTTCAAATAATTTTTAAAAAGCTGAGAGGATAGAAAATGTTGTAGTTATGTCTTCAGCTGGTGACTTATTGCAGATTAAGTCATGTTAGTACTATGATTCATTCAAAATGAAATGTTAAACTCATCATAACCACAGATTTCACTTCATGATACAGGTAGAGATAATAACACATACATATTCATCACTAAATAAAACAGGAATTCTGAAATAAAAGGTGAAATTCCTGAAATTCGCCTCAGTTGAGAAATTTGAGAGGAACTTTTTCAATAACGTGACTTCTCTGCTTTCACGTTTGAGTCAGCTAATACTTCCTCTATGCAGAAAGCAGATTTTGTAATTTGGGCAAAAGTCAGAAGTCAGACTCTGACATTTAACTTTTCAATTCTTTTTCAATTATTAACAATCAACCTTTGCCTGACATAGTATTCAGCTGCGATGTAGTAGGCTATTTTTATAATAACAAAAATACAAGTTTGTTAGGAAAATATTGTGCCATCCAACTGTACCCATTTGCTTTATGTAAGTTACTCGAAATGACTGGGAAGTGGTTATCAAGAAGACCACAAAATGCAAACACAAGCATTTAGTGTTTTTCCCCTCCGAAACTGCTTCGGTAATAGACAGAACACATATTGGGTCACATCCTGTCGATCTGAGGAAGTCACAAAGGCAGACTCATCAGTTGAAACACTGCAGTTAAGTCTTTAGAGTTGGACGTTAAACACATTAGCTGGGATTAAAAAAAGGAGAAAAAAAAATTAAACAAGATCTAAACAGAAAGTAAGGCAATGCTTCAAAGGGCAGCTTCAAATGTCTCAGACAAACCTAAAAACCTCAAGCCAAAGGTAAGTGTGAGCATTTTTACTAGAAATAAAGTTGTATATTATGATAATAATAATGGGGATGCTGGTGTTTAAATGGGATTCAGCTTCAAATGGACGTAAACCTTTCAGATCGGCACAAAAAAAAGGAAGAAAGCTCTTCTAAAATACAAACTGAGTGAAGTATCCTATTAAAAACTTTTAGAAAACTGAAATGCACCAGGCAATCTGAATTGCTTTATTTGGGTCAGAATCACTGATAAATGCTACACTCCCATTGTCATGAGCCATAATTTTTACGGATTACCTTTCGTTTAGTAATTCTAATAATCTAATAATGCTTTTGCAATGTAGAGGTGACAGATGAGCATTTTCTTGAGCATTATCTTTTGCTGAAGGTACTAAATTTTGCTAAATTGGAAACGTGACATTAAAATGATGAGCTGTAGGCCTGCAATGTCTTTTCAAAATGTCACAAATGCGAATACACTGGTGTTGTGGTATCTCTGGTTTCTGCTTTGCTCTATAATTGGACAAGTCTTTCTCTCATTCAGCGATCCACCAGTTTCGGAAAGTTTGACAGCTTCAGACATCACCACTCACCGACCAGGCTTGAGGAAAATGGAACAACTGTGGTAAGAAATATTAGATCTGAACTCTGATAAGTAACCCCACCTACACTTTGGGGAGAAAAAAATTCAGATACTAAATATAGGTCCAAACATACTGCGACATTCAGTTATGAATTATTAACTGAGAGCCTGCTAGCATAGCTATAAGCTTACTGAGCATTTGGCAGCAGAGCTGTTAGCCCACATAGATGTCAATACTCATTATGTTCTGTGCTTCCAATAGGCAGAGGGTGAGTCAGGGACAGAGAACAGTGACAAGCACAGTGGCTTGGGGAAGAAGATGAAGGCCATCTCCCTGACTATGCGCATAAGGATGGGCAAAAAACAGGGCAAATCCTTCTCCGAAGACATGGTGAGTCAGACGGAGAAACCAGCCTGATCTTGTCTAGAAGTACATCAGGATTACACCACCCTGACCACGCTGCACTGCCAAAACGCCATCATCCTTCCCCATTCAGTGAGAGCAGAGTTTTCAGTTCCAAGAACTTTTTTCTTAACAGTTTCACTGTCTAAATGCAAACCTTCACTCTTAATAATAAAAGAGGGTTCTTTGGAGTGATGCCAAAATCCACCACACCCTTTTCTTTACCTTTATTCGGCTAGTTCATGCTCCTTTATTGTCTGAGGTAAAACTGGTAACACAAGGGAGACAAGCTAGCAAGTGAAATGTCATCTGCTCATGTTCATTCTTCAAAATGAATGTTTCAGAAATGCCCTCCAATTTAGTTTTGTCAGAGATGTACTTGATGCACAAAAGTGATTCAGTGAAAACACTTGCTGACATTAACTCAGCAGAAAAAAAAAACAAAAAAAAACATAAGGATATGGTACAGTCTACCAAGTTTGTCCAAGCTACGGTCAAATTCATACCTTTTCAGTGGTCAGTTCATGTACTTTTGTATTTCTAATGCCATTGTTGCTTGCTGATGATAACAGGCGTCCTTTTTGCAGGCTTGTTGTCCATCAGACAATGCTGACAAGCACACCATTGACCTGTACTTTGAGCTCTGCCTTCACAAAGCGTTAGATTGCTTTAGACATTTCTCTTCCAGTTTTTAATTGACAGTTCTTTAAACCTGCATAGGGTGAAATTTTTTAATTAAAATTGAAAGTGGTATTACTGAGCCAGGAGTAAAAATAAATAAATAAACAGGCTAAAATATGGTGTCCATGTGCTGCTGCATGTTAACCCCTAAAACCTGAAATAGTAGTTTAAAAGTCAGACGAGCTGAGTCGGTTTTCTAAGGAGTTTCTCTAACTGCATCATACGCCTTCATGTGTTACCCTCATGCATGCAGCCATAGGAAGAAGATGTTTAGGCCTCAAATGCAAAATTAAAATTATACTTAAGATATAAAACAACAGCAGATAATTCACTTCCGTCTTCAGAAGACATGTCCTTTACCAAGTTTTGACTGAGTTCCCCTTAAATACTCTTTCACTGTCCTCGTAAACATCAGATTGGTCCGCTTGAGAAAGGGGTTCAAAGCACAAGTCACATCAGAAAATGTTCTTCTGCACATTGCATGCAATTACACATTTCCACCAGAGAGGTCTCCAAATCCCCAAGTCTTACATAGTGCAGCTTTAAAGAACAATTTTTGTAAATTAAATGTGCGTGTAAGAAGAACCTCTACATAACGTAAAGTATGGATGTGAATCTGAATATCAAATAATTTTTTTGAATAAAAAAACTCTCTAAATACAATCAGATAATAGAGAAGTAGCGCTACAGCAGATGGCACAAAACACAGCTTTATTACTTTGGAACAGTTGCAGTGCTGATAAAGCTCAAGATCACTTTACACTCTTCTAGTATATACTTAATGAGATTAAACTTTCAAAAACATTTAGTGAATTGTGTGTAATATCAGCTACTAACTCTTCAAACACAAACGTTTAAGGTGGAATACATTACAATGTGACTCGACTAGTAACATTAGCTGAGTGATGTAATAGATTATTATCATTTAGGTGTTTAGTTTAAAGACTTCAGCTTAAAGGCTTTTCTATGTGCAAATTTCAACCCACATACTGCCTACTCCAGCTTTTTGTGCTTTATATTTAAAAGGGAAGTTCCTATTTTTTTTTAAATGGTTAAGATGTCAGCAGAGTGGTCTGGTGAAATATTTTTAAAACTCTCTCACTGGCAGTTATAACACTAAAAGGTTATGACATGTTGCCTTATACCAAAAACTGTTTTACAATCGTTTTGAGAGAAAGTTTTATTGTAAACTAAAACTATTTTTAAATGCCATTCACGACAGAGAGCTACAGGCTGGGTGTTGTCGAGCAAAATAGTAACCAAAAAAAAACTTTTCTTTCAGAAGACGTGTAGGCTCACTGGTGGTTTTGGATAGAAAATGAAATGGATATATTTGTGCTGTAGTCTAAGTTAGACTAAGTAGTCTAAGTTTCTCTACAATTAACAATTTCACACTGAAGCACTCTAAATGATTAATGATTCATTACAATGATTGAATGATGAAGGAATTAAAAAAAATGGTGAAATTATTACTCAGAAGATCTATTATTCAGTAATTATAACTATATATTATCAAGAAATACTTGGTAACCACTAAGGAACTAATGCAGCTCTGAGCTTGAGGAGATGACGTGCGAGCCCTCATATGCAGTAACAGGAGATTTGGAAATGTCAGTTCAGTGAAAAACGGATAAACACAAACACGCACACAAATTTACACAAGCACTGTGGTTTGCGTTTCTCATTCTGTGCTCTTCTTGTTGCAGGGTGATGACACAGACAGAGAAGCAGAGGGGGAAGCAGACGGCAGCTCTCCGGCAGCCAAAGCCTCGCACAGAACCAGCAACTCATTAGAAAGCCTCCACAGTGGACAGAGCTCTTCCAGTAAGCACTCACACATCAGATCTCGTTACTGGAGACAGGAAGGCCAGACAACATGGTTGTATTCACAGTGTATTGTACCCTATTGGCTCAGGTGGAGTGACCAGCAGTTCAGACGTGTCCAGTAACAGAGACAGCCTGAGGCTGGAGGAGGAGGTGCCATTCACAGGCCAGTTCTGTGGGCGAGCCAGAGTGCATACAGACTTTGTGCCGAGTCCATATGACACAGACTCCCTCAAACTCAAGGTCAGCGTCCCATCTGCTTTTTTTAGATCAGCATTTGCCTCTGACTCGGTGAACTGTCGCAGTCTTCTCAGGAAGATGAAACAATTATATTAAAATGTACTTATATATAGAATTATTTATAAAATACATTTATTTAATAAAATAAAAAAAAATTTAATTAAAAAAAAAACTACTACAATAAAACACTGAATTTGTCAATGATGATCTAAAGCCAAGAGAATTTACCAACAAACACCAACATTATATTATTGACAGACCTAACGAGTGAATATGGAAGAACATTTTAGAACAGTGTGAAAGGGGGGGGGCATTCTAGAACAGTGTGAATGTGGGAGAACATTCAAGAACAGTGCCAATGGGGAAGAATGTTGCAGAGGACTGTGTGTAAGACGACTTTCTAGAACAGCATAAATTTTCTAGAACATTGCGAACATTCCAGAACAGTGTGAATGAGGGTATGTTCTAGAACAGTATGAATGGGAACAACAGTGAAGAACCGTGTGATTGGGGAGAACATTCTAGAATGGTATGAATGGGAAGCACTTTCTAGATCAGTGTAGACGGGTGAGAACCTTCAAGAACAGAGCCAGTGGGGAAGAAATTTGCAGAGCAGTGCGAAAAAGAGGATATTCTAGAACATTACACATGGAGGGGCATTCTAGAACAGTGTAAATGGGGGACACCATTCTAATCAGTATGAAATAGGATAACATTCAAGAACAGTGTGAATGAGGGGATGAACAGTATGAATGGGGATCAACACTGAAGAACAGTGTTCTAGAACAGTGTGCATGTTGGGGCCTTTTAGAGCAGTGTGAATGGGGGGCATTCTAAAACAATATGAATAAGGAGAACCTTCTAGAACCATGTGAACAGGGAGAATATTCTAGAACAGTATGGATGTGGAGAACATTCTAGAACAGTGCCAGTGGGGAAGAATGTTGCAGAGCAGTGCGAATGAGAGGATATTCTAGAACATTATAAAGGACAGGGGCTTTCTAGAGCAGTGTAAATGGGGGACACAATTCTAGAACAGTGTAAAATGGGATAACATTCTAGAATGAGGGGATGTTCTAGAACAGTATGAATGGACATCAACACTTAAAGAACAGTTTAAATGTGGAAAACATTCTAGAATAGTGCAACACTGAAGAACAGTGTTCTAGAACAGTGTGCATGTTGGGCCATTTTAGAGCAGTGTGAATGGGGGGGCATTCTAAAACACTATGAATGAGGAGAACATTCTAGAACCATATGAACAGGGAGAATATTCTAGAATGGTGTGAATGGGGCTTGTTCTTGAGGGGGAACAACACTATTCTAGAATGCATTTCAGAACATTATGAACATTATCTCACACTCTGCCACAGTGTGAGATGGAGAGAACATTTTAGAACAAGGTGAATGGGGGAGCGTTCTATTATTCAGTTATTAGTTATTAGCTGTGGCTGAGAATTTGTTGGATTTGTTGGTGTTTGTTAGAGAACGTTGAGTCAATGTTATGTTTCAGTGATTCTTTATGTCTTTCTTTCAGGTTGGGGACATTATCAACATCATTAGCAAACCCCCCATGGGAATATGGACCGGGATGCTGAACAATAAAGTTGGAAATTTCAAGTTTATCTATGTGGATGTACTAGCTGAGAAAGGCTCCGAGGAGGCTCCAAAGATTAGGCCTCAGAGACTGTCAAAGAGACCCCGACCCAAGACTCTGCTGGAGTTACTGGAGAGGCTGCATTTGGAGGTAAAACTACTAAACATGAACACCTTCAGAAATACAGTCCTACTCCAGAGTCTTTCTCAGTCACACAGATATGTGCTCTGCTGTTTTACAATTTTTCCAACCTGTTCCCTCAGGAATACGCTTCCACGCTGCTCCTGAATGGCTACCAGACGGTGGACGACCTAAAGCACTTGCAAGAGAAGCATTTGATTGAACTGAATGTGTCTGATCCGGAGCACAGGCGCAAGCTACTGGCTGCTTCAGAAGTCATCTACGACATGACCAGTGAGTATCAAAACTGTCATTTTCAAAATGATCCTGAACTATACGGTCTGGTTTCTAGTCTGACTGGTGTTGCATATTTGTAATGTTTTCAACATTCAAATATTTTCAATATGTATTTTCTTCACTTTTTAAAATAAATGTATATAAAGAATGAAGTGTGCAAACACTGTTAAAGTTTCAGAACTTACCATTCACTCTACAGTCTATACATACATGCATGAAAGCTAAGCTACAAAAAGTTTTTCAATTTGCTGGTTTTGTGATACAAACCAATGCATTTACATACAATCGTGTAAAATTTGGGCACCCCAATTGCATGTTTTGTTGATTTTCTAAGTTATTTCACACATCCTCTACGGAGAACACACGTCTGCACATTATTGTTTGATGGAAAAAATAAAATAATAAAATGTGGCATTAAAAGTTGTGGCAGTACATTTATATTTTATGTTTTTCCATGTTTATGTTCAATGGAGAAAATAAATAGAAATTGTGCAATTAAATTTGAATAAAATGCCAAATTTACATCTATTTCCTATGTTAAAAAAAACATGTTATTTTTACTTAGAAAATCAGCTAAGCATATAATATTACTTTCAACCCAGACTTCTTTTTGAATGAGGAACAAAACAGGGCAGCCAATCACAACAGAACTCATTTACATATACCAGTCTTGCAGGCACATAAACAGCCTGTTTAATTCTATGGGATGAAAAGAGATTGGAAAAAATATTTAGGAGTGTTTTTTGGTACATAAAACCACAAAAACATTATAAATGGACCTCAGGGAAAAACGTTAAATGTATGAATAATGTAGGAAGTGGTCCTTTTAGCTTCTGTTAGACCCACAACAAACTGCAAATCATAGAAAAGCACTAAAACTGTAACTACATCAAAAAAAAACTGATGTCTGAAAACAAAAACCTTAAAATTCTCGCTATATATTGAGTGATCTCTCAAATTCAGCATTCTTGGGCTACAATGATAACAGCAAAGCAAACAAATGTGGCAAACACATGTGTGTTAATCTCTACAGCACGAAAGTCAAACGCAGAGTGGTAGCGTGAATTCAGGTCAGGATTAATGGCTTCATGGATGTGGGTTCGTTGTGAACAGGTGGTGCATGGCTGGGCTGTTCTGGCTCTGACCTGCAACATGCAGTTAATAACCAGCAAGAGATGCAGTCATTTAATTAACATTAACTCATTAGGGCCGCACGCGTAACCCAAACCTGGTTTGCTTGCCTGAGATGTAATTAAGCAGCAGGAGGGGATATGAAAGCCCTAACCTCACTCTGCTGTGGCCCACAGGAGACGACCTGGTGGAGATGAAGGGCGAAGAGGAGGACGAGGAGGGTAACGACTGTCCTAGAGACTCAGGTTGCTTCATCCCAGCAGAGTGCGCAGACACTGGCAGAGAGGACACAGAAAATCACTCGCCCGCTGTCTAACATCTGCTTCCTGTGAAACATGTCGCAATGAGTATTGAGCAACACAGACCTACTTAGTCTGCAAAGCTCAATTAGCCAATATCAGCAAATGTTTATTATTATCAATAGCACCTAGTTGTATGCATAGAACTATAAATCTATAGTTCATAATTTCAGGATATCTGCTGTCTTACATATTTATACTTCTTTCTTCCATTCTGTGGAACGATGTGTTGTGTTTTACTACATTCCTACTGTGTGTATATAAATGCCTCCTTATCTAAGATTTAATAAATTATTTATGTATGACTGACCCCGTCATTTCTGGTTCTTTTACAGGACAGTTTTTCATTTTACACTTAAATTTTATCCTTAAAACACCTCTAGAGGAAGCAAGCATTGCCACTGAATCAAAGACAATGTATCATTATCTTAAAACGTGACAATATATTTCATAATATATAATATTTTATAACATTATGTAAGGTTTTGCTTTTATAATCTATATACTAGACTTTTAATGCTGCAGCAGTTTAAACGTGGACCAATACACACATACAAAACATCATTATGAATACAATTTTAAGAATTTAAACTTTCCTTCACTTGACTCAGTAATTAGCACTTACAGGCAACTGTGATTATTTGACATGTTATCATAACAGCAAAACCTGCCAGTAGCTACATTAACTGGAATTGTCCACACACTTCCAGTTAATATATTTTTTTATTTCTCTTTGCCAAAATATTTATAATGATTTCTCTTTATTTTACAAAGATTTATTATTTGTTTCTCACAATATCTGTAAAGTACGGGAAAATAAGTATATCTGATCAGCATCTTATACTTTTTTCAAAGTTCCCTATTCATTTTCAATTTATCAATAACTGCCTTTCTTTATTTTTTTTTTTAACCAAAAAATTAGGGCAATATCTACATAGTATTTCTGATTCAACAAACATTTAAGCAAGATTTTTCAAAGTATTTCCTTGATTGTAAATCATTTCAACCCTTAGCTCTCTTTTGGCTTAATATGTCTTTGTTGTACATTTATGTGCATCTCGGTGCACACATCAGCTCTGTATTGTTGTGTGCTACTTTGAAAAGAGGCTATTTTATAGAATAAATCTACAGAAAAACATGTAACTACATCACCACTGTTACGTGCTCTCATAGCAGTGTGTCGTTCATAAACGAGTCGACTCTTCGAGCCGGAGATGAACGCTGTGAGCCGACTCGCACCGAAGAGCTGATTTTCTTTTTTTGGAAGTTAAGACAAAACAAATGGGTAGATCTTATGACGCTGTAGCCGAGCCGCTCCTGGATCTCCTTGGAAAATATGCTCCACCGTTAAACCTGACGTTTAGCCTACGTTACTCGTTGTTGGTTTGCCTTCAGTTTTGTCTGCCTATCTTGTGATCCTCTTGAAATGTACCCAGTGAACATGTATGCATTTGACTTATTGGATTTAAAAACAAAACAAAAAAAAAACTAGTGTCAATACTATAGATTCAAATTACAAGATAGGAAATATCGCTATGCTGCCTAATTTTGGAAACGCACCAAAAACCAAACATGACAGCGCTACCGAGTTAAGAGCCGTTTGGGAGCCGAAAGAGTCGACTCTTACTGGGGGGCTGAGCCGATTGATGTGACTCACTCACTGACTCGCAGCTGTACATGTCAGTGAGGAGGGGAGTCAGCTGTCCTCTCTGATTAATGCCTGATTAACCGCCTTCTCTCTCTCTCTCTCTCTCTCTCTCCTCTCTCTCTCTCTCTCTCTCTCTCTCTCGCGCGATCTGTCAATGAGCGTCTTTCACCACAGTTACTGTCCTCACACTCCGCGGAAACGGACACACAGCTCTCAGCCACTCCTCCACCGCCGCTCCTGTTTAATGACTTTACACGTAGCGAAAGCCGTTAACGGTCCAGTCCTCGCGCACAGCGTGCAGTGACGTTGTCCAATGAAACCCATCTTCGTAGCTTCTGAAACAAACGTTATTTTCCCGGGGGCGTTGATTTGACGCAACAGCGCTGGGAAAGACCCGGCTGCACTGTTCGACGCAAAGCATTTTGGGAGATGTTGTTTAAAAAGACTAGCGCGCTGGACACTCGTATCAGCACTACTGTTGAAATGGACTACATTTCCCATACACGCAGTACACGTCTGCTAGTTGGACGTGTACATGTACACAGAAATGTCCGTCTGCCGGTTCAGTCGTAGTTGCTGAATAGTTATCACACCAAGGTGAAGAAATGGCTGGGGAAATGTCCGCAATCGGTGAGTACTTTAGTCGGCTACCGTCTGAGGTAACTCAGGTCAAACAGGTCACTTTAGTGGTGGTTGCGAATTTCCTGGTACGTTGTAGCTAACGCGGTTAGCCGGCTAGCCTGATAACAGCTGTTACTGAATATTGCAGCACAGCAGTGTTTATAAGGCACAAATACAGCTTCACGTGGTCTAAAGGTACAGTCTTTGAACAAGGATGGTTCTTCAAGGTTCTTTATTAAAGACAGTGGTTCAATATAGAGTCACGAACGCTCAAAGAACCATGGTTAAGTGGCTCTTTGCATGGTGAAACGGTTCTTCAGATTGATGGAGAAGGTCTTCTAACTTAGCTTATATAGAACCTTTTTTATTCTGTATAACGTTAGCACCAAAAAGGTTCTTCTGTTCTTACGATGTCAAGCGTGTAACAATAGAAGAACCTTTTTTGGTGGTATATAGAACGATTTTCAAAAAGGTTATAACCATATAGTTACAACACATTCTCCATCAGTCTAGAGAACCATTTGCCTATACAAAGAACCGTTTAACCATGGTCCTTTGAGTGATTGTCTTTAGTAAAGAACCCTTGAAGAACCATATTTTAGGAGTGTAGACTTCGTGAATACACAAGTGCAACAGTCACCTTTATGGTTAGGTAATAGTACAGTTCAGTCAACATCACATCTGCTACAGATGCACCAGACTTGGACTAAACCGCAGTGCCAATGCTGATTCATCATTGGAAATCCTTTTTAGTCTTTTGATCTGAATCTGGGAAGCTGGCCCTACTTTACTTGGTTCTAAGTATTTGTGAGACACCATCACATCTTCTGCATAATATGGTTTTAGTTTAGCTCCACTTCACATGTTCTACACTAATCTGTTTTAACTTTATCAGCTATGTGTTTGTTCGTCAACTGTCATCTGTCACTCTTCTTGGTTTTAGTCTAGCTCCACATTCCATCAGCATCATTACTTGGTTTTAACTTAGTTTAGCCAAGTCACCATCACGTCTTCAACTGTTTGTAATACATACATACATACATACATACATCCAAACCGCTTATCCTTCTGGGTCGCGGCGGGGTGCTGGAGCCTATCCCAGCTGTCATTGGGCAGAATGCAGGATACACCCTGGACAGGTCGCCAGTCCATCACAGGGCCTGTTTGTAATAGGTTGGAGCTAATTAAGGTACCATTTTTCAAGTCAAATTCTTCAAATTCATTGATTGGATTTCTGTGCAGGCTCCGTTATTCTGGCTTTATTCCTGGCTGGCTATCTCGGACAACAGTATCTGCCTCCTCCTAAACCCAGGGTGATTGGGCTAGATCTCGGGACCACATTTTGCTCAGTGGGAGCGTTCCAGCCGGGAACAGGAGAGGTGGAGGTCATCGCAGACGATAGGGGTCGAAAAAGCATCCCAAGCGTGGTGTCCTTCACTGCCACTGGCATTTATGCTGGACATGAAGGCCAGGAATTATCTGACATCAATCCACAAAACACGATTTACGATGCCAAGAGATTTATAGGAAAGACTTTTGACCAGGAGACTTTGGACCAAGAGAGTGCACGTTACCCATTCAAGGTAATGTTCTTTAATAACTGCATGTGTCTTAAACCTCACTCTCTACTTTCCTTGGCTTTCTGTTTTCTTTTTCAAGCACACATGAAGAGAACTCACGCAGGCCTTCTTTATTATACTTGTATTTTTTTTTTTTACAGGTAATGCTTAACAACGGAAGTGCAGAGTTTTTGGTGTCTACGAACGGTACTTTCACAGTGAGCCCAGAGTTCATCGGATCTCGCCTTCTGTTGAAATTGAAGAAGATGGCAGAGCAGCATCTGGGAGTTTCCATTGAGAAGGCGGTTATATCTGTGCCTGCAGAGTTTGATGAAATGCAGAGAAACTACACGATCAGAGCTGCCAACCTGGCTGGTCAGTCTGCCAATAAATCACTTGCTTCATTCATTTGCTATTTAAAACAATTGATTAGACCTTAATGCTTTCAATCAGGAATTGCTGTAGCTGGTAGGCTGTTTTTGTTTATGCAACATCAGGAATTTCCAGCAAAAAATAGTGCTGTAGAACCACTGGGTGCTGTGGGATCCACTAAAATCCCACACTTGCTATTTAGTGGGATCCACTAAAATCCCACACTTGCTATTATTAGGCACAAAGATTGCAGCGCTACTGTTCTGACAGATCCTGATTGTTTTTTTATGTATTTATTTTTTTCCAATTTCAACATGTAAAATCTAAATGATACATGCTGTAAGTAATGTAGAGTCATTACCAAAATGGAAGTTCAAATACCTGTGACTGTTTTTGTTTAATAGTAGTTAATCTCTGTCTTTAAACAGGGTTGGACATCTTAAGGGTTATCAATGAGCCCACAGCGGCAGCGATGGCCTATGGGCTGCATAAAGTGGATGTGTTTAATGTACTTGTGGTGGACCTGGGAGGAGGGACACTGGATGTATCTCTGCTTAACAAGCAGGGTGGCATGTTTCTTACCAGAGCCATGGCAGGTAAGAATATAGAAACAAAAATATGTATTCTGCTTATGAACCATTGTTTTTGGAGACAGATTCAGACTTTGTCGTTGTTCCCTTTAACGCGTTAAAATTTGCCCCAGAGTAGTTGGTGTGTGGGTGTGTCCATGTTGGTCATAGTAAAATGGATTAGTATGTGGAACTGGATATTTCTGTGTGCTACCATGTTTCCTATGACTACATAAAAGAAATATCATGCTGTCTTTGTTGTGGATGCTCTGTGGTGGTTTCTGAATAAGTGTGCACACACATTCAGAACAGAATTCATTTCGCCAAGAGCTTATGATTAATATCACAAACTACCAAATTAAATAAATTAAACGTCCCACATCAGGCAAAACTGAACTTTTTATGAAGATTTGAAATAAGAGCGTTTGATATAATATGCAAACTAGTTCTAAACTGTACAATTCACTCACCAGTCCATACGGTCCATATATGGAAAGTAATCTGCAAAACAGCCCTTTGAATTTTTTGTTTTAGTGATGTCAAGGTTTACATATCAAAATAAATGCAACAACAGCATGAAGAAATCAAGTTTTTTAAAGGAATAAAAGACAGAAATAGCCTTTTTTGCCTCTGAATTAAAGATAAGACAGCAGTGATTGATGCTTAGTAATGGCTCTTCTAACGCTGTCCTCTAACGCTTCTAACCCTCTTTATACAATTGACATTGATCATGAATGCAGCATATACAAATGACCACATCGTCTCTCATTGTCCTAACAGCTTCTAAAAACACTGCAACATCTTGTAAATGTTTTCTTCTACACAACTTGACCTCTCTGTCCTCGTATCTATAGGTAATAACAAGTTGGGAGGACAAGACTTCAGCCAGCGTTTGTTCCAGTACACCAGCGAGCGGGTGCGCCAGCAGTACGGAGTGGCCCCCACGCTGAAGGAGGATGTCCATCGGCTCCGACAGGCCGTGGAGACAGCCAAGCTCAGACTGACTGTGGAGCCCCACGTGTCCCTCAAAGTTCCTCTCCATCTGCAGATCACAGGAGCCGAGGGTCTGCAGGAGAAGCAGGTTATGTTCCAGGCCGAGCTGACCCGCGAACTCTTTGAAGACCTTAATGCAGACCTCTTCCAGAAGATTCTTGCTCCCATTGAGACTGTTCTGGTAGAGGGACGTCTAGATAAGGACGAGATTGATGAAATTGTTCTAGTAGGGGGCTCCACGAGGATCCCCCGCATTCGTCAGATTATCAGCCAGTACTTTGGCAAGGAGCCAAACACGTCTGTGGACCCTGACCTGGCTGTGGTGACTGGAGTGGCCCTCCAGGCGGGCATCATGGGAGGGGCCTGGCCGCTGCAGGTCAGCGCCATTGAGATTCCAAACAGGGATCTGCGTAAGACGAACTTCAGCTGAGAACAAAGTGAAGCTGTGGTTGTTACTGGATCATTGGTCAGATACCTGTGCCCACGCAACAAGCTTAGCAAATGGCTAAAATACGTTTCTTAGTTTTGCTTCCTCAAATGCATTTGTTTTGCGGTAAGTGCTCGAAAGCTGTGGCAGTATGCAGCTATAATTATAAATTATTGCGGATGTGGCAGTAGCATGTAGCAGTTTGGGCTCTTGAAACTACTACATTCTGAATTTGAGTCAAAAATACTTCCCCCATGTTTATGTGGACATTTATATTGCACTAGTCTTACAAAGTACATTGACAAAATGTTGTACTGGTTACTCAGCAAACAGTCCTCCTCTAGCAATTAAAGCATACTTAAAGTAGAACCTGGCAAGCTTTGAATCCCAGTTTATCAGATCTGTCAGATGGTCTGTTTACTTTTCGGTGCAGCTGAACATGCAAATCACATTGCAGTGACAGATTTCAGAAGTGGGGGGTGTAGTTTTGAGAGAACAAGAGCTGCACAATGTTGTTGGTAGGATTTGTACTTTTTAAAAATCTATGATTGGACCTTGACGACTCATGGAGGGCCCTGGAAGAGATGCCCAGCCTCTGGCTATAAGGACCAACTGCTTTGGTAAAAATGTGGCATTTCCTACAGGAAAAGGAGTCTGGAGACCCTCTGCAGATCACGCTTATATGCTGTGGCAAGTTGCGATGCATTTTGCTTTCAGAGCGCTGGAGCAAGGCGTAAAAGCGTCACCCGCGGTGTTGCCAAGGCTAATCTTTTTTTGTAAATTGGAAGGGGACCTGTTGATGTCCTTCTGCTAATATTAGCTGGACTGAAACTGTACAAATGAAATGTGACCAATTTGTTCTTCAGCTATTTATTTATTTATTTTTTCTGTGTTGTCTTTTTTTTTTTTATAATTTTGCTTGTGCCTTTTAGAAACTGTTGTCGTTTTATTTGTACAAAACTGACTAATAGTGATGGTACGGCTTTTTGCTAATTAGTTAAAAGGGAGTTATTGTATTTGTGGAATATTTCCACCTGCCAACTGTGCAGTGAGCGCTTGTATTCATAGAACAGACAAACTACTGATCCACTCAACTGTTGAAATACGATGAATTTTAAACCTGAAAAGAAAACTCAAACAAAAATGCGGGGAAAGTGAGTGCATTTTCAAACTATCAAAGGTTGAAACTGAACTATGTAAATTCTTGCATTCTTAAGTACTCCAGTCAGTGTAAACATACTGATACTGAGATGTAGGATAATATTTTTTATATAGATCATGTTTACTGTATTGCAATACATGCCATCCATTCCCACTTATTTGTAATGTATTTACCACTTTCAACTGAATTACACTTAGAATAATAAAGAAAATGCTCTACTTTGTTACACTGGTTAGAGGAACAGTGGGATATACGATGCTGCAAGTTTATTTAAGTTTTCAAAATCTACAGCAAATGAAAAAAAATATGGGAACATATATATATTTTTGTATAGAAACATATAAGAGCCCCATTATCCTTGATTTTGATTTGTCCCCCTGAGGCCGACTTATAGTGTTTGTTTGGGTTTTATGTACCAAAAACAGTCGGAAGTGTTGCATGACCGTTTCCTATCCTCTCTTTATCCCTAAGATTTAAACAGGCTGTTTTTGATACTGTGCCTTTAAGATATAATGTTTGTAAGTGATTCTGTTCTGATTGGATGTTCTATATTGTGCCTCATTCAAAAAGCAGTCCCTAAAACTTTAGCATTAATAGGCTTATATGTGAAAGGACTGCTGAGTGAACAGAAACTTTAACAGTATTGACATACTACAGCAATCCTTTATTTAAAAAAAAATGAAGAAAAGTTGTTTTTAAATGATATGTGCCCTTAAGAGCTTATGCATATTAATTACATGTGCCCAGGTTTGAAGGAGTATAAAATCTGTGAACCTACAATATATTCTTCTATTAAGAATACTTTCTGGGCCTAGGTCTCCTTAATGTACCATTTCCAAATAACTAAATGGGGCCTTTTCACCTTTTTCTGCAGCTTTGCACATGAAATTGTAACAACAAAAACAGTTGTCAAGATTTTTTATTGATTGACATCCGACATACAAAATAAAAACATGACGTAGCACTGTTTGTTCAGAGTCTCTTGTGTGTCATTGAAAGCATTTATATTATTAACGAACTGTTTCATATAACATTATGACCTTGGTCCTAGGGTTATGACCACTGCTCTACTGGTCAGTCCCACAGGACACCTTTCATAGTTCATAGACTCCTCAAAGCACATGAATTACAATGATCACATGACAATATTCCACACTATACAATATATAAATATCATTTTTGATTCTAGGCCAGTACATGAGTTCAAGTAGTATTGCACACAGCACTGAAACTCAACTCCAGTTTCACTGCATTCAGTGTCTAACTACTCATTAAAGCAAACACTCTTTTTACGGCAACCCTCCATTTACGATTTACAGTAAAGAGAAGATTGTATCATGCATGCTTCTCACATCCTCAGCTTTATTTTTCTTGTATATTAAAAAAAAAGCTGTTCTTTTATTTCTGAAAGGCATAAAACAGCACTATAAAAAGTCGGTTTATTCTTTAAAATGGAAAATGACAAGAGGGGCACATATGAAAACGTCCAACGAATAGTCACGTCATGTAAATAGTACACACAAAGGAGAAAGGCAGGCACTCTGTAAACACGCTTAGAGATTTGTTAGTTGCTTCAGCCCTAACAGAAGGCAGTATACTGTTAAAATCATGCCCAAGTAAAACCTACAGACACAGTTTTCTCTACAAATACTCCTCGGTTCCTGGCTATTGGACACTGTCTTTAAGGGAGAGTTCATTAAGATACCCCGTTTTATTACAGGCATGCGCTTGCGGTCAGAAGCAAACAATGGACGTTCCAGCCACCCTGAGCACTGAGGGGGGCAGAGGCCACAGATTTGGTAAAACATTTGAGGCTTACTCCTCATTTACCTAGCTACTTCATTACAAGCAATTTAACAGTTAAAAAAGAAACCTCTATACAGAATATACACAAATGTTCCTTCAGCAATACAGTAGAATCGCTAAAGCAATACATTACAATTCAGTAGCTCGCAGGATAACACCGAAAATGCAACTGGGTGCACGGAAGAGAAAGGAAAAAGCAGTAAAATCAAAAGTAAACAAGTCGGACATTTCATCCAAGTTGTGTATTGTTTTTTTAAGCAGACACTCTGGAGAGTCCATGGGGTCAGTTAATGCCTTGATTGTAGTAGTCAAACCCATTTTCCTCATTGCTGACCCCATTGCTTACCTCTGTAGATACAAATAATGAAATGGGTTGAAACATTAATATATAATTTCTGTTTTAAATATTTTTTAATGCCATATATCAGATCTGTGTGTAGTAAATCATTTTCATTTCACTATTTGCTATTTTATTTTAATGCATTTCATTAAATACACAAACCACCTATACATTTGTTGTCCATCATGGCGTGTACCTTGTATGAAGTATAAAAAAACAACACTTCTTATAAAAAAAATTCATATTAACAAACAAGATCAAACTCAGTTTAGTGATTTCAGTCTCTAATACTTAAACATTGATGACATTCTCAATATCTTAGAACTCCCCTCTGAGCTCCATATTGGAGGTTTTCAGCCCAGTCCTCAGGGACCACTGGTCAGTCCACATTTTCATTGCACTTCAGTTTTTAATCCCTTGAATCCTGGCCTTATGGTTCAGTTACAAAGTCTTATTATACAAATATAGGCCACAGTGGTACATGGGCTGTCTGATGCTAAAATGGCCAAAACTATGGAAGATACGGAATGGACGGAAAGATTTGGAGTGGATCTCGTAAAGGAGTGCTTTCGAAATTCCGTCAGTTACGTGTGTGTGTGCACATGCTTCTGTCCTCAGTTTTTAATCAGTCCGATGGGAAACTAAGTTTTTCAATTAGCTGTCTGCTCTAAGCCTTTAAGAACAAGATGCAGCCACTGAATTGTTCATGGCATTTTAAAGGTTTTTCAGTGAGATATTCTCGTGTTTACTGCTCATGATGTTTCACGTGGGTCTGTTTTTTTGACAATCGCCTGCCCCTGTGCATAATGCAAAAACTACAACCTGTGGTTGGTCATTGTGCAGGTCAGTCGAACGGCTCCTTCCTGTCAAAGTAGGCGGTTCTCGGCCACGTTGAGGGACAAAACCCACAAGACTCTCAGACTACTCATAAAAACATGATTGGCTGGAAGGTCCCTGAGAAATGGACTGAAAACCACTACCACTGTACTAAGGTACAGTATATTTACAATACTTCATATACTCACCATTAACAAGCCAGTGTTAGCATGTCTATCAAGACGAAAGCCATTTATGAGCTACGATTGAAGGTGGAGGATGCCAGCGGTGGATGGAGAGGAGGAGAGATGGAGGGCAGCAGGCAGTGAGAGGCAGGGAGAGGGAGGGATGGAATGGGATGAGATGACATGAGACAGTGGAAGGATCACACCCAGGGTTAAGCTGCTACTGCGGCTGACCTTTAGAACATGTCAGAACCACTCAGAGAATCATGCAAACATTATGAGACACACATACACACAATTCAGCCACTGAAATTGTGTGGGGGAGCAAAAATACACACGATAAATATGAATAAATAATAAAAAAATAAGACATTTTAAAGGCCAAAGCAAATCGATCCAACAAACACCAATAAACACCAACATTCTAATGTCAGAAGTTACTTCAGAATATTAAAAAGAACAGATAAACCAAATGAACCAGGGACATTGCCAACCAGTGGCCAGGGATGGTCAGTGCTACCCTCACATGAAGCCGCCATAAGTGGCCATAAGTCTGAACACCCCAGTTTAACAAGGTGAGACAGTCAGCCATCATAAAATAAAGCCGTCATGAGAGTAAAGTTCTCCTACCTACCGTGTGTGACTGGTTACACTTTACGGTGAAAATCTGCCATGAGGGCAGTCACCAACCAGCTGTAAGAGTCTGATCAAACTGCACCTGATAATTAGTGTTTCTTGGTGTGTTGGCTACTGTTTCCTGAGCAAACAGGCTAATCAACAATGGTCAAAATATTAAAAATAGTCTCGTGCTTCTTTGTTTATTGAGCTAGCTTTGGGTTCCTATGTTGGAAAATCACATAAATAAGTCTATCCATCATTTTACTTTTTTTTCTTTTGGTTCTGTTGGGGGTCACATTACTGTAACTGAAGATAAACAATGTTAATCAGGAAATAGATTTGGAATGTTATGGAATGTAATGGATCACTTTCAGTTGTTCTGGAGTAAAAACTATTTAAAATGTGGTTAACCAGTTACCCAAGTAATGGTATTATTTTTCATTACTATGCACATCAGTTCTATACAAATATCACATCAACAAAGTTTTATCTTTTTTCAGCAATAACTGGGTGCAATGGTTTATTCCTCTGCAAATTATGCACAAAATTATGTACAGTAAATTCAATTAACAACATAACAATACAATAATAACACAGGCCTAATATGCATACAGATGAACATTATTAACTGCTCTTTAAGCCCCCATAAAATCACCTGGCCACCCAAATGAAAATGTGCTGGCCACGTCCCTGGTGTGAACTGGGGAGAACATTCTAGAACCATATAAATGGCAGAGAACATTCTAGAACAAAGCAATTGAGAGAAGATTCAAGAGCTGTGTGAAGAGAATTTAGTAGACATTCTAGATGCTGTGAATGGGGCAGAACATTCTAGTACACTGGATGAAGAAGAATGCTCTAGAACAGTCTGAGTGGGGGGAGACTGTGCTAGAACAGCATGAATAGAGGATAACATTCTAAAGTCTCCCATCAATCACACACAGGCGCGGCACATCAACCAAACGTTTGGAACTGTTGGTGTTTAATTTTTTTATTTTTTTAATGCTTGTTGGTGTTCGCTGGCTCAGTGTGCTCTGGCTTTAAAATGTACTAAAAGCAGCACTGTCAGACTCTTACCGGAGAAGATGAGTTTCTCCTTCATGATGTTGACATCTCGGCTGGACCTCCTGACAGCAGCGCTTAGCATGATCTGTTCCGGGTTGTAGCTGCGCATACCACTCATCCTCCACCTACAGTGACACACACATACAAAACTGAGTAAGACTACAAAAGATAAAGTATTTTGCACAGTTAACATTATATATGCTATGTGGAGAGTTCACAGAATTAACTTCATTGTGTGCACACTTCAAAACAAATCTCTTAGAAAAAAAACATTTTTTTCAAAGCTTACAGTTCAGACTGAATGCAAAATAGCAAAGGATCTAAATGCACCTTTTCAAGCAGGTTTTGCAATGTAGATGTTCCATAGATTCTGATTAAGCTGAGTCTTGGATTAGATTGTTGCGTCGGTGGTGTTTCACCACTAAAAATCCTTTTTTTGTTAAGGTTTAGGACTAATCTTGGTCTGGCAAACCTACTGTTAGGGTTTAAACTGAGGCTAAAATTCATAATGTAGAGATCAACACAGACACTGCTCAGTAATTAGAGCTCACCTCTACATTTTGTTCACCACTGCATTTGTTCACATTAGTCCTGTTACTACAAGCAATTAACAGTTCATAATATTAAAACATCATAGCCTAATGGTTAATTAATGATCTTGCACCCATTTTGCTGTTCTGGTCAGGAAAGCACTCAGTTTAACTGAAACGTTCTGCTGATATTAACAGTAAATCATTGGTAGCATGCTGAGTCTCCATTCGTCCTTCACTGGAGAGTCAGGGCGGAGGCCAGGCAGGGCTGTGACTTGGTGCTATAAATAACTGTCTTCTACTGCAGGTTCCGCTGCTTATAATCCGCAGTCACCATTCATCTCAGACATGCCGTCTCTCTACCATGAGAAATTTACATCTCAACTGAAGCAAGAGCTACTAAAATAAAAAGCTCTCTGTATAGGAAGCTGTGAATAATCTTGTCAGTCACTATGTTAAAGGCTGTAAAGGCTCAATACCACCTTCTAGAGGACATAAGACAGGGCTGGGCAAGACTTGCTGCCAGTTCTCTTTAACAAAATTCTGCTCAAAGAATTTATTAAGCAAAGGTTTAGCGCATAGTTAATACGTCAGGTGTGATGTTGAGAGGTGATGTTAAGGCAGAGTAAATCTAAAACATAAGGGGGTCTGAATTTCCAATTACTGGTAGTGAAAGAGAGAGAGTTACAGGGTGTTACTAGAGAGTTTAGGTACTGTGCGAAAGTCAAAGACCACCATTCACTTATTTAATTTCCAGTAAGAACAGCCAGTAAGTACAAGTTATTCATTCTTCAGGAGATACTTCTGAGGAGATTAAACCTCAGATAGACCATGTGCATAATGAAGGACAAAGTCAAAGGAAAATAAATGGGGGAAAAAAAAACTGGAGTTCAAAAAATGATTGAAAGATGATGGGACTCCTTACAACTGTGCAAGACCTAGTAGACCACCAAAACAGTCCCAATCAGATAAACAGCACTCAAAGCTTTCATCTTTGAGAGAGAGGAGAAAATCACTCTTGATTCAGATCTGAAAAATCTGAAAAAGGTGTTTCTGTCCATCCTTCCACCGTGAGAAGACAACTCAACACTATGAGTCTGAAAGGATGTGTAGCTGTAAAGAAGCTCTTACTGAGAAAAGAAAACAGACAAAAAACATCTACAAATGAAACAAAGAACCTTCTGGTGTTCACTGCACAACAGAGTGACCACTCCAGAGTCCAGACCTGAACATCACTGAATGTGTTTGAGATTACTCGGATCGTGAAAAACACAAAATGCAGCCAACTACTAAGACTGAATTTGGTAGGATGGACAAACATCGCTGCAGATTTCTTTGAAAGAAGCTGTAATAAAAGAATACGGTGGACATTAAATATTGAAAAAAATGATATATTCAGTTGTTGAGGCTTCTGTGTTTTCTGTTAAATATATGTTTTCTCCTTTTTACATGACACTGAAAAATTAGTAGCTTGTACTGGAAATTAAATAAATGAAGTGGTCTTGTAGAGGAAATCAGACACAGAAAGATAGACAGATAGATAGACAGACAGACAGACGGACAGAAACAGACAATTATAAATAGACAGATAGATAGATAGATAGATAGATAGATAGACAGACAGACAGACAGACAGGCAGACAGATAGATAGACAGACAGACAGATAGACAATTATAGATAGATAGATTGACAGACAGACAGACAGACAGATAGATAGATAGATAGATAGATAGATAGATAGATAGAAAGATGGACAGATAGAAAGATGGACAGACAGACAGAGATAGACAATTATAGATAGACAGACAGACAGACAGACAGACAGATAGATAGATAGATAAACATAGGTAGGAGAACAGATGAAAAAGATGCGCACTAGCATAGCAGAATGGGTCTGTAGAAGTGACCCAGTTACCTGATCACGTGATAGCTGAGAGATGCCAGAATGCAGCAGAGAAGAGGAGCATGCACATCAGGCAGAAGGAGGAAGAAAGGTACAAAGGGTACAAAGATAACAGAGTAAAAGGGAGAGAATCAAGAGGTCAGTTCAGAAGCAGAAGCTGGTCACTATGGCAAGCGCAGCAAACTTAGCACTAACCAGAGAGCAGGTATTAAAAAAATCCCACAAGAGTACAGCCCCCACATGATGGTGGTGGTCTTCTTGAAACAGACACAGAGAAAACAATGCCACATTCCCTGCCCATTCTTTCATTTTTAAAATAAAAAAAAATGTTTGACTTCATTCCTCAGAGTGTCCCTTTCCCTTGCAAATCCTTATTGTGTTCCTTCTTCTCATTTACTTTTCTTCTTCTATGCTTTAGCAGCACTAAAAGTATTTAATTATACAGTGCACACAGAGTTAATACATTTCTGTACTGAAAATTATCAGTCAGGGCTGCAACTGTATATTACAGATCCCTTCCACAGTCCTTTTCTGGGAATTCCACAATAAAAGAGTCATCATGATTTAGCCCACAGGAAACCAGCAAAAGTATCCATCTCCACAGACAGGCATAATAACATTTTCAGTTGCTAAGGGACTACAATTCATTTGGAATGAACTCAATGTCGCCCTCAGTGGCCAAGAGGGTGTTATTTATAATATATTACTGTATCTCTAGAGTTTACATCTTAATATGTTGTAAGTTCAGTTCAGTTGTACAAGTAAATAGGACTGCTTTTCCTGTAGGTTACTAGATTTCAGTTTGTAGACAAACCTTAGTTTTCCATATAAATTATAAACAAAAAAACAACAAATTTTGCAATTTTGTAAACTTGCAATAACTGACTAGAGGGGGAATGACTGTGAATGAACTTTAATCTGGCTTGACAAAGCCTTTGGTATGAAATCCCAGGTGACTGCTAAGGTGTTATGTATATGCTATGTTATCTCAGGCAGTTGCTAAGGTGATGCTAGGTTGTTGCTACATTGTTGCTAGGTCAATGCTATCTTATCCCAGCTGGTCGCCAAGGTGTTTCTAGGGCATTGCTATGGCATCCCGGGTAGTTGCTAAGGTGTTGCTATCTTATCCTAGCTGGTCACCAAGGTGTTTCTAGGGCATTGCTATGGCATCCTGGGTAGTTGCTAAGGTGCTGCTAGGCTGTTGCTATGGTGTTGCTAGGTCAATGCTATCTTATCCTAGCTGGTCACCATGGTGTTTCTAGGGCATTGCTATGGTATCCCAGGTAGTTGCTAAGCTGATGCAATGGTGTCCCACGTGGTTTGCTAACGTGTATGTATTTATGAGCTAGTATGCATGTGAGTCTGTATGTAATGTCTATGAAGGGCAGTGTGAAAGATGTTCTATGTGACATCACTTATAGAAGTTAGACTGGAATTTTCTCAACTTTCTCATTCACTTCCTATAGAAAAAATGTGTTTGAGAGAACAATGTACAAAAACCATACATGTGATCAGTCCCAAAGGTACAAGTGCATTATTCTCGTATAGCTTCTAAGATGCCGCAAAGTTTTGTGGTTCTAGCTCAAAATTTGCATTGTACAAAAAAGCATAGAGTAATAAAATGAAAAACAGTAAGTTGGCTTTGCCAATTCAATTAGATCTAATAACTTCTCTATATATAAACATCACTCTCTGCAGCCAATCTGATTTAAATCTGTAATCTTACATTACTGTTGCTGTCACATCACTGCATCAGAGAAATTGTCTATGTGCATGTGCATACATGATGGACAAACAGACAGAGGAAGAGAGGGATACAGCAATACAACTGACTCACAACACCTAGTTCAGTAAAACTGCTGATGAGGCACACATAGGAGTTTTGGTGCAAAAGACAAGCAGATGCTCATAATTTATTTATTCTCATAGCTCAGCACAGTTCTTTGTCTCCAACCAGCGCAACCTGTATCTCTTCCTTATGGGACCATTACATAGTCCCCACAATAAAATTATAAGACAAACATTCGAGCTGAGGAAGCTCTTACTTCTGGAATATGAAAATCCCCAGCACTAAAGCGAAGGAGACAAGATCCGTGGCCACCCAAATCAGACAGTACTCATCTGGACTCTGCAACAACAAAAACAGCATTTTTAAAGACCAGACACTAGATGTCACTGTAACACAAAAGAACAATCGTGGCATGTAGATGATTTTAACATTGACAGTTAAGTACTTCTACAGTAAGAAGGAAATATTTCTCACTGGAAGATGGGACTGGTCCCGATAGTTGGATTCTTTAAAGTGATTTTTTGAGGAAGCGCACTGTTAATCATAGAGATATTTTACCAAAAGCCTGACTATAACTGTATTTTTTGTTGTCAAATTAAGCCCTTAAACCATAAGGGCACGTATGCTCCTTTGAAAACTATATAAATTTCATATTAGTATATAGAATTAACAAATAGTCATTTGTAGTTGTTACTAAATAATAAGTCTTAAGATCAATAACTAAACAATAAGCCTAGAGTTCAAGGGGTAAATAAAAAGTAATGTGTTTACTCATGTTGACAATAAAAGGCTACAAAATCTTCAGTGTGCACCTCTGAGCTTGTGCCTATTTGCTGACGCTAGCAGTGTGGAGACATGAGCTGTAGAGAGCAGATGCAGTGTCTCACCATTAGCCAAAGGGGAGACAGCACTTTTTTGAGGACCTGCGGGGCCTCAGAGGAGACGGACTGCACTCCGCTGCACCACAGCAGAGAGTACAGCCACGGCTCATTCACAGTGTACAGAGTCATGCTCACGTTACCAGCTGCGTACGTCCTGTGAAAAATACACACACACACATATGCACGCATAAACGTCTCGTTATACACAGAGAGCTCCAAGATAGTAATTCGATTTAATACGATGCTGTGGTGCCTCACTACAGTACATTTTCCATACAGAAAAAATAAGGAGTGCCTGACATTCTGCCTTATGTTATTACACTAACCTTTCCATTTTAAGTTTATTAGAGCATGTAACATTATACAAGTACAGTATTTGATAGTAATGCATCAGCAACAAGCTAATTTATTAGCCCCGAGATAATATATGCTTACAAGCAGCCTGCTTTCTCCTCAGACTCAATTATGAGGTATAGTCGAAGCCATATTTCTTAGAGAGGACATGGTCTACCCTCATTACGGGTTTGCTTGTTTAATGTCTATTATACTTCATGTCATATAAGCAGTATTAAAGTGAGAACATTGTTTGCTCTAGTCTGTTGAATGTATTGTTCAGAGCCCATGCAAACTGTGTTGAGAAGCTCATGTTGATACAATATGCTGTACTGTTACACTTCCTACAAGAATTCTACTGCATTAAAGAGGAATTACCTTGATTTTTCAACATTTCTGCCTAATTCAATTGTGGATACGTTAACAAAGGCAGAGCAGATTAATGTAAAATAGCTGATTGTAGAGAAATACAGATCCAGAAACTCAAATTCAGATTTCTCAGAGTGCTGGCGAGAGGAAGCAGGGCTCGCAATGCCTATGACACAAATGTAGTCATTTTTATTTGCTAGTCAGTGCATGTCTTCTGAGCTAAGAGTGAAATAGTGGTGAATTAGAAAACTAAGTTTTCTATTTTGCACGTACATCTCCACCATGAATTTTACATAAAATTTTGGTCAAACGCTTTTCAGAAAACAATGTCTTAAGCATCCAGCACCATATCTATGACCATTTCATGTAATAACTTTATGCATTGTAGCTTTTAGAGGCATTGAGCTCTTCAAATGTCTGGTTCCTATCACTAACTCCGTGAATAGTTTTGTCTAGGCAAGTATCTTTAAAATGGAGCACTTTACATTAAACTACTCTGAATGACTTTGCAAACATCTTATTGTTGGAATTATGCAGAGAATTTGAATCAAAAATCAATGGAAATCCCTTTTAACTTAATAAAAACATACAGGCTGTAACTAAGGCTGTCACTATTACTCAGGTAGAATCACGAGCAGCTCTCTGCTCCCTATTTGGTGCACTGCACGGGCCAGGAAACAACAGCTTCTACACTCAAATAGAGCACTAAATGTTATAAAGGGGGTTGCACAGCTTATGGCTGAATATAAATGGGTTTCTATTCTGTTCTACCATTTCCATTTAGAAAAATTACTAAAATATACCCCCTAAATGAACTGGCAATGATTGGTTTCAAACTTATACAATGACACTGCATGGTTTAGATTTTTCTATTGGTCTCCCTTACAGAAAGAAACCTTTTTTCTTGTTTATTTAAAGTTTTTTTTTGGTCTGTGAAGCTAGTCCTAGCTATAATGCATATTCATTATCAGGTTCCTACTTGGAGAGGCTTCAATATCTTCTTCCTAACAGTATGCTGCATGCAGGCAACTGTGCTGCCTAGTACAGATTCAAAATCTCTGTCATGAACCAGAAATGCGTCATTGAGTTACTCTTGTTCTGTCAGGCTGAGACAGGCATGCAGTGATATAATGTCAAAGATGTTGTGCAGTGGACAAAATATCTGATTAGCAGTGCCTAATATGGCTTCTATAACACGTTGCTATTATGTATGTAGAGGGCTGTGGCTCACTGCACATCTCGAACAGTCGCCTGGTTGTAGCGCAGCAGGAGTCTACTGATGCCTTTCTGACGGAGAGTCTCCAGTGGCTGCTTCTTTGTGGAGATTTGTTGGAAACCTGGTGCCTTCTGCCTGACCACCTCCCTATCCCAGTCCACACTCCACACCACCTGCAAATTTCTCATATTAACATGCTTTTCACCACAAGGGGGCACTGTTGTACAAAGCCAAGCTTATAAATCTGTTCCATGAACATCTCACAAACTTTTGAGAAAAAAAAAAAACACACCATTTTTTCCAAATTGCTGTGTAATTCAATTGCAGACACTTAAACAAATCAATTCAGAGTGGTTCGGTGTAAAATGGTTAATTGCAGAGAAATGTACTGACTTAGGTTTCTTTACATTGGTGGCGATGGTAACCAAGGTCACTGTCTACAGCGCAAATATAGGCATTTTTTACTATCCCAAACATCTAGCCAAACTGCGTATGTCTCCTAGTGGAAAAAAAAATCCTTGGGGACTATTTGGACTTAAAACGCCCTGCATGTATTACACTCTGTCTTGAATGTTTTGTAAACTAAGTTTTAGGTCAAAACCTTATTTTAAAAACTATTGCAAAACAATGTCTCATCATGAATCAGGCAGCATTTTCATAACCGTTTCATGCATTATCTTTCGGTGAGGGTTCATTTAGAGGCATTAAACTCTTTGCATGTCTGGTTCCCATCACCACCACTGTAAACATTTCTGACTCAGTAAGTTTCTCAAGAATGAAGCACTTCACATCAAACCAATCAGAATGACTTTCATCTTAACTATTCAATTACCAGACGTATTAAGATGGATGCCTGAAACGTCTAGCATCTAGTAACATCTAAAATGATGAGGTTTTCTATCCCCACTCACCAGGTGCTGAGGAATGCCTGAGCTCAGCACGGTGGCCAGTGTAAGGTTGACCCAGCTCAGGTGGTGGGGATGATCAGGTGGAGGTCTGCGTAAGGTGAACAGGGCTGAGAGGTTTGTGTGGGCGGCTAGCTGTAGCATCTGCTCCAGACTGCACACGGTCTGATTCCCCACCAGCCAGCGCTCCCGCTCTGACATGTACTGCACTGTCCAGTACGGGTCATCCTGCATTCAGCACAAACCAATGTCATCAAATCCAGCACCGTCAACAAGGTCAATGGACAGAGTGAAGGGACACAGCACCTCCACACTTTTTTCCCCTGGGTTCACCCCATCACCACATGTGTAATATAAATGTGTAGGGGTTGAACGGTGTGAAGTTATTGAAAATGTGTTATTTTATATGTTCTTCACAGAAAATGAGCAAAGGTCAAGGAATCTGAGGTTGAAATAATAATAAATCACATCATTTCTTATTTTGGTAAACACTGAAAATGAGTCCCACAGACCTGAACACCATAAAAGGGTTAAGTAACTTGTTTTAAGTTCAGAGAATTATTAATGCTCAATGATCAGAGTGGGGTATAAACTATGAACAGACGGTGTCTCTTCAGTGATGTACTCTGTAAAAACTATTATAAATTTTTATAAAATAATACAGAGTGTCTAAGATTTTTGGCTTTCAGCAATAAACTGTAAGCATATAGCAATATGTGTGATCATAAAACACATGTTCTGTTAATTTGAGGGAAGCTTTTACAAAAAATAAATGAAATAAAAATTTACATTTATTTCACACAGTTACTGAATAATTTGCCTTACGATTTGGTCATGTAAATTCAGATGGACATACCAAAATATACCCTGGAGAATTGTTTAAAGGCAATCAGCTTTCTTAAACTATTTGAGTTGATGTTACTCATCAGGTTTTATGCTGTACCTTCAGAAACCACAGGCCAGCATTGAGAGAACGCAGATCAGTCCAGTTGAAAAATGAGGCGTCCTCATACTGCCTCTCTGGAAAGGCTCTACTAACGTCCGTAGTCCTCCGCAGGGTGCGGTCCTTCATCAGGAAGGGCACTCCATCTAGGCTAGAGCCAATGCACAATTAAACTGACCTGCATGGTATTATGTATCTCATCCTGACATTAACATAGGAACATACACTATATTAAAAGGCCAGTGAAGAGACATTATGTGCGATATGAATGATTTCAATAAAATCAGTAATGCAGGGATTACTTTTAAAAGTTCATGTGTTAATAATGAGTTAACACAATGGCTTTTTTCTTTTTCTTCACAGTTTAACCCTTCAGCCTACTGCTAGTTCTACCATGGAGTCCAGCTGCTCTTTCCTAAAGTCCAGCTGCTCTTTTTTGTTTGGCACGCTGTTGCTGTGATTCTGTGTCTGTAATCCTCTTGTTCAAATACAGCTTTTGAATGCTAAGTTCCACTGACGGCTCTCTTGATGAAAAAAGTTATTTCCAGCTCCTGCCATGTAGTGAATTTGTTTATCAGCATCTTTGGCAGACTGCACTGCAAACTAACTAAAGCAACAGCAAAGCTGAAAGCTACAGCTTCCCTTAAAACAAGATATAGGTCACGGTTTGAGAGCAAGATGCTACAATCCCAGAGGAGTCTAGCCACTGTTCTTTTCACCGGAACGTTGATGAAAACTGAAAAATATGTTCACATGATTATCATGTTTAGCCTGTCATCAGGTTACTGAAAGTACTTTTGATAATTTAGTAACATTTTTTTTTTATCATATGAACATAATGTCACTGAGTTATTGACATTTTAATGAAGCTTATTCTGACTGTGACAAAACACTGTTTTAGGGTCACATTTGGGCAAATAAGACAAATATAATCACCCCTGATTATCTACAAAAAAGAATGTGATTAATTGCATTTAACTGTCAAACTCACTATCATTTTACAGCCCTAGAAATAACACATTGCATTATCTGAATTAACATATTATTAAAAATAGTGCAAATATGAATTAGTGTTCTCCAATATGTTCAGAAAAGCCAACCCACTGAATAACATTAATGCCTTTTGTTCACCCTTATACAGAGGCCTACAGGGTGCGTCCTGGGTCCGTACTTGCTGGCCAAAAGGGTCCTGTTTGTCATCATGCTTAATTATTCAGCCCAGAGGAGGGCATGGAGCAGTCAGGCCAACATGTCACCACCACTCTCATCTCCCCCACTCATTCATCATGGCTTAGGGCGTGTCTGCACATATGCACATAAAGGATGTGCATGATTTTGTGCATACCAGAGCTGCATAATACATTGTTTACTAATCATTACTGTGCTATACTGTGATATTGTGCCCTTGCAGTACTGCTATTGTTGAAGCTACAATAAAAGAGCAAAAAAAAACAATGAAAAAGCTTTTCAGTGCGTGCTTTGATCACCCTGACCAATCCCAGTTCTAAACGAGCATTTTTGGGATGTAACGTAATTCAACAAAAGTCAATTACAACATAAAATAATGCAGGTCTTTAACCATGTCGTGCTATTAATTCATCACTGCACATTCACTATATTTGCAAGTAGGCCTCTCATGATAAGTAACCGCTGTAAATAACTGTGATTAAAAATGTCCTTTTTTGTTGTTGTTAATTGTATGCAAACATTAAAGCATAAACCACAAGTGGCCAGATTGGCTTATTAGCTTGCAGTATGTAGCAATATAATCACAATGTTAGTTTTCTATCCATAGTCCATCGACATAAGAACAAGAACCCACACTCTCTTGGGTGCACTCATACTCTCTCTGTAGCTTCTTAAGATTCAGCTCCTCCCTCCTCATCCTCTGATCCATCATCTAGGCATGACTAACCCACCTCCCAGTGACGGACAATGAGCTCACAGACACAAACCTATGCACACCTACTCACCCCACCCCGGCGAGTCTGCATACTGTATTGATCTGTCCTTAAAGCCGGGAAGAGGGAGTGAATAAGTGAAAGAACAAATGAATAAATACCTGATGGCCACCTCAGCCTCCAGCCCGCTCACATTCATCTGCAATGCCTTCCGGAATGAGAGCAGCGTGTTCTCTGGAGCCAGCTGATGACAGGAAGCAAAAAAAGACACAGAGGAACATTAACCTTCAGTCATTCATCCAGATGAAGGAACATCACGCGCTGGGTGCACTTAGACAAAACAGAGAAAAAGAAGGAAATAAAAAGGTACAAAAAAAGTAAAAGAAAAAAGTTTCTTTTCTTGCAAGAGTGAATTTTCTGGGGTGCACAATATCAATTATATATATATATATATATATATATATGATATATTATTCGCCAATCAGTTGAAACGTAATTATTAACCCTACATTGGTCACTAGAGCTGGGTTTTCCATTGCTTTTAACTCAAATGGAGCACAAACCCACACACAAACATCAGATGTTTAATTCCCTTTCCCTAGCCCCCTACAACACACATACTGCCTGCTGCAGCCCACTTTAGCTTATGTTTTTTAGCATTAATGAAAAGTTTTTAATGAGAATCACATATTAACTAGAAAGGGGATGTGAACTTTAAGTTGGCTAATAACACTTCAAGTTAAAGCAGCTGCAGAACACTGTTGATTGTTTTTGATAACTTAATTGGGTTTATATTGTAATTCCCTCCAATTGCTGTGGTGTTGCTATGAGTTCCAGTGACAGCTTGTTGTTAGGGTGTTGCTTGGTAGTTGCTAAAGTGTTGCTAGGCTGTTGTTCTGCTATTCCAGGTGGCTACTATGGTGTTGCCAGATGACTGCTAAAATGCTGCTAGGCCATTGCTATGCTATCCCAGGTGGTTGCTAAGATATTAAATTAGTCCTCTCAAGTTCTCCATCAGTTCTTTCCTAAAACAGCCATTATCACCTTTGAAGAATCGGCATCAGGTGACTTGTCCGTCTTCTCGTTACATTGCTCTATCATACAGGCCTAGTGACACTGTGATATCACAATGCAAAAATGTGACAATGCATCATGGAGAATGTTCATTATAATAATAATGCCATCTAATGTTAATGCATTGTTTAAACACCAAAGTTTGCAAACATCACTAATCAACAACTCACTCCAGCACTCCTCCTGCCGCCCTAGCACTAAAGTCATTAGTGAGCTGAGCAACAAGAATAAAATCATATTTTTTTATTTCAAATCTCATCATGAGAACATCAAACTGTGACCCCACTATCATTAATCAAATTGAATCGTGGACTGTCTTACACTTACTTTTTAATTTTATTGTGTTTTAAAATCCATTAAAAATAAAATAATAACAATCAGTTACTTGTATCAGTATCAGCCACAGCAAAGTGTTAAGTACAGGTTATCATTATCAGCCCATATATTCTATCTTAGTGCATCCTTAGTGATATTAGGTAGAGAGAGAGGGTGAGCATGAGAGAGATCTATAGATGGATGGGGGAAGGGTTGGGCTTAGAGTTCAGTTCAGCCTTTAAGGCCTTTTCCTCCCCCGAGAGATTACCAGTGCCTAAACCTCTTTCAATTATTCTGCTTTAAATCAATAACTCAGAGCAAGGAGTTCTTTCAAAGCTGAGGCAACATAGCTATGCAACTTCATGTGCAAAACAGTTCAAGCTTATGCAACGCTATGCAAGCAACAACAGGATCAACAATAAGGCCCCTCAAGTGCTGGCGATAGAAATTATTGACTGAGCAGTAAACAACATCCTGTCTGTGACAGGTAAGAAAAGTAAGCAAGCGTGACGCAAGAGTATGGAGATTTTAAAAAGACAAAAACATATTTAGGTGCACACAGGCAGGGAGAGCCATATGATCTCAAATATTTCATACTTATCCATCTGATCTTTTCTTCAAAGTGCAAAAATTTCATAAAACATGCATTTTGTTTTTGTGCACATTTCTGAAAAGTAGGTTATAAAGTCTTGGTAGCTTGTGTAGACACAAACATCAGATCAGGACAAACACAAGTGCATGGAAAAAACAACTCCAGCACAGTCTGTAGCCTCTGCAATCTGCGGATGGGGGAAACCCATATCTGTAGTCTATTACCAGCACTTACTGGCATGGTGATCAATATAACAGAAACATGCCCTGACCTGCACCTGCATGTCAGCTTTGCCTGACTTACTGTTTCCAGCTGTAGGCAGCTAACGGACACCTACACTATATGCCTGTGCACACTGTTGTGTTATTCATAGCTATAGGAAGCTGGCATGTTAATATGTATGAAGGGGAATAAGCAGTAGAGTGGAGAGAGAAGAATGAATCTTGCGCTTCAGCTGTGTGTTACAGCAGTGTTCACTGCTTTAGTGTATTGGCTCCGATTGCTGGTTCTATGCACATTTTGTCCTTTTTCATTTACTAATAAATAATTATTAATAAATAATAATTGATTATATAATTTAAAAACATACTTAATCGAACGTAGTGACTTGAAAAAACTTTAAAAAGTGTCTCGCCAGTGACCCATTCAGAAACTCTGGGTTTGTCCCATTTAATTCATTAAAATCTGTTGGCAAAGAAGCTGAAATGAATGTTTGCTGATGCTGTGGCATAGTAAAATAGATAATTGTGGAATTGAAGCTTTTTGGATGCTACCATGTTTTCTTTCACCAGGAGCGTCATTTTGTTCTACTAAGTATGTTTTAAATCAAGGGCACCCTAACCTGCCTATTTACAATATACACTGTAGAGCCAAAAGTATTTAGATTTCGCTTCTAATTAGTGAATTCAGCTACTTTAAGTTGCACCCATTGCAAACACAAGCTGTAATTGTACACCCACAGCTTGTATAATTTCCATACAAAAGCACTGATTATAGAATGGGACACTCTGATGCATCAGCGATGCATGAGTCTAAGGTCATCAGTCCCAATGCCAAGTCACCCACAAGTGCATTTCCAAACTAGCCAAATTTGGCGGGAACATTGTGAACATTGTGGATTAGGGAATAGTCCACCATGAGAGAAAACAGAGGAGAGTGAAATTACACTGTAATATATAAACATAAAATGATAATCAGGGGATTTACACAGAATATCTATCATGTATAGGCAATGGTTATTATTATTACTGTTTATCTTTAATGTATTAATAATGTTATTTTTACTTTTTTTTCATTATAAGTTTTCTTGCCTTTTCTAGTGGGGTCCCATTATCAGTTTCATTATGTGGGTTGTAAAAACAGATTCTTCTATGGCAGTTTATGTGCTATCTCTATATTAAAAAGCACCATGCTGTCATTATTGGAATAGGTTGTTTGAGATTTTTTAATCAATTCCATTTACAGTGTATATACAGGGTTCATACAAACACAATACACAGTTCATTAGCAGCCAACTGGGATAGCATAGCAATGGCCTACCAACACCTTAGCAGCCTCCTGGACAGCATAGCTACAGCCTGGCAACACCTAAGCAACCACCTGGGATACTACAGCAATGGCCTGGCAACAACTTAGCAACCACTAGTGATAGCATAGCTAGAGCCAAGCAACACTTTAGCAACCACCTGGGATAGCCTAGCAACAACCTACAGCACCTTATCCCTATGTGGGATAGATTAGCAGCAACCCAACAATACCTTCATACCCACCTGAGACAGCATAGCAACAGCCTAGAAACACCTTAGCAACCACTTAACAACCACCAAGCAACACCCTAAAAATTAGCTGGAATACTTTCTGAACCAATGTGCCCACACTTGCAGAATGCAATTGACATTATGTAAATGCTTATTTTTAATTTTCTTCATCAGAGTAACAATAAAAGGTAAAATAAGAAATATATTCCTATTAATATATTTGCTTACTCATGAAGGTAGTTTGTGACACAAAATAGAAATCTGTGATCTGAAATCTGTGAATTTTTTCAGCTTTGATAGGCCACATTCTTTACACATCAAACTAAATAAAGAAAGATCTTTGTTGTGCACACATTAAAGGAGTAGTGTTGCAAGATGTATTGAAAGTGCAATGCTTTGTCACGTCTACAGTGTGGTGAACAACGCAAATCACCTAACTTTCAATATTTTTGATTCTTTATTTGAAGAGTCAAACGCATTGTCAGCATAGTGAAATAGACTTTCACTATGCTGACATTGCATACTGTTGCATTCTATGGATGAATCATACCGTGCATGCTAAACTGACTCAGGCAAGCAAGGGCTCATTCATCAGCATATCTAAGATATACAGCTTTTATGCATGGAGTCACTGTCAGACAAAAACCTCATCACTTTACAGGAGATGGAAAAAAACCTGTTAATTTTTAATGCAAGTTAATGTAGCATGATTTTATTGTAATATTTCAGAATTTTAGACCATTTCTATTGATTCATTCATTATTCAATTTTCACACCATGTAAAGGGCAGCTGCCATTTTTAAATTATGCAATAAATAAATAAATAAAACCACAAAAATGGAAATTTTTGTTCTGACAAGAAGGATTTGTGACTTTATGCTCCTAAAAACAATCAACATAAGGTATAGCTCACTTCCTATTTATGTGATGAATGTTAAGCTGTAGAAGCTGTATATCCCCATCACACTGTTAATCCTCCTTTTAGATGCTGAATGTTGAATGAGGCCATGTTTGAATTATTTAGTTACTTATTAAATTTAATATTTGATGAGTGTTATATGGAAAAAAAAACTGGCTTTGAAAATAAATTATGATGAAAATGTCAATCACGGGGTGCCCAAAACTTACCATAGGAGCTCCTTGGTGACCAATAACATCTGGACGTGCTTTTAGGCTGTCCCGTTCCATGATGCAGGGTGAGGAGATGGACAGAGGGGTCAGATAGAGGCTCAGGAGCACAGCAAGGTAGATCAGCAGAACTATTATCTGAAACCCTGCAGAACAGAGGACAGCCTTACACTCAGTACACCACTTACAGTAAAACAATATTAAAAACCTAAGCCACATGTACAGAGTTACATTTAAGAGCCCAACACAGGTTTAAACCTATAAACTGCTTTCAATAACATAAAAAATATAAAAACATGAAATAAAAATGCATGAATAAAATTTTTCTAACATGACGCAGGTACTCTACACTTTTTTTTTTTTTGAGCGATGCCATAGAACCTGAGAAAACATAAAAAAAAGGTTTGCAAGTGTGCAGAACCTTTTAAAGCTTTAAAGAACCTTCACACCATGTTCTGTACCAATTAAAGGTTTCTTCCTTGAACCTTTACAGTATGTGGAGGTCCATTAAACTAAACACATCGTTTACAAAAAGTGGTTCTCCAAAGAACCATCCATTTAAGGGTTCCTTAGGAAACCAAAAGTTGTGCCTCTATGGCAATGCCCAAAGAACCCTTTTGGTATCTTTATTTTTATTTATATTTTGTAAATGAGCTGTAAAAATAAGAAATTATATATTTTTATTTATTATTATTATTAAACTGACAAATTTGTATACAACTAGAAATTACTATAAGAAAGAATAATATAAAGAATTAATATAAGAAATGAACACCCAGAATGCCTTGCATTTGATAAGCAGCAATCAAATCTCAAAGCAAATAATATGACAAAAAAATGGCTACAAAAAGATAATTACAATGTACTTCTTGAAACTCTGAATAAAACACCTACCATCTGGTGTCTAGTTAAATATATTTAAATCTCCATTATTTAAGTAAATATTACATAAGACACAGACAATTACCAATATGACTCCAAACTTGTGATATCAAAGTTTGTGTATGGTATATTTCTTTAGAGGCTTCATGTCTTAAATTGGTTGAGCATCAAAAGCAGTATTTTGCAGTTTATACCAGGAATTCTACAGCTGAGACAGATGTGCTATAAATTGCCATAGAATGTCCCATTCCAGGTGCCAACAGAGATGCCTCTGAACCATAGCAGAGATGTTAGTTCTTGGTTAAAAATGAACAAGGACGACACTGGGAAAGTGTCACTGATGTAAAGAGAACATTCTAGAACATTTTACATTAACCACATCACTCATTTAGCAGGTGAAGCTACACAATGTCCCTCAGTGTGATAACAGAACACAAGAATGCCCTGGTTCAGAAAAAGGGGCTCCTCTTCTGCAAAGCCTCATTAATAATTAACACCTTGTCAGTGGAGGTTGATTAATGACAGGCAGTGCTGTACAGTAACATAGCAGAAACAATGTTACTCTTAGGGTGTTCATGGTTCTATATAGAACCATCATCTTTACTAAAGAACTCTTGTACATTTGAAAAGCAACTGACCATTTTTATTTCAATACAGTTCCTCAAACCCTTGCACTGATTTTGCAACAGCAGTAAACAAAAAAAATAAAAAATAAAATGGCAGAGCAGCACAAATGAGTCAGTTACCCATCTCTCCTACCACAGACTTTAGCTACTCCCATAACACATTTTTGTTCTGTGCAAAGAAGATGGCAGACTGGATTATTTTTGCTAAAGGGGCCACGTTTTTGTCTTGTATTTTATTTGTTTCTCTGGTACCAACTTATGCTTGTGTGAGCATTTGTACCAAAAACAATCATAATTCACATAATAATATATTTTTTGCTACTGTGCATTTAAGACTGATATGTAAATGAGCTCTGTCCTGTACTGTGTCTTGTTCAAACTTGTATCGGGCTAAAACACTCCTCACAACTTCAGTGTGAGTGGGCGGGGCTAAACTGCTGTACGCTGGATGGGTGCATATATGTAAATATATTGGTTTTTGTGACATCACAGAAACAAAGAATTCAAAATGGGCTATTTTCCAACTTAAATTCCATAACTGTATTTAAAACACAATGGTTTTAAATACACTAACAATGTTTACTTGCAGTATCAAACTCTTTCATTTAAAAGATATCATGGGTTTCCATGATACAGGCCCTTTAATAGTTTTTAAATAATGCCTATTGACTACAAATAAAAAAAAAAAAAGTCGTTTTTTTTTCAATTTTTAGTTTTCTACATTGAGCACAGAAGCTGACTTTTACATTCAGTAAAAAATTCATGATGAACTAACCAAAAGAATGTTCCAAAGTTGCTTGGAATAAAATCTCTTTATCTTAACTTACATAAAAAGTAAAGACTGTTTTTGCTCTTTCTTGTAAACTCCATTTCTGAGTTTTTCTTTGGAAAGCGACGATATACAGATATACAGATCTTACTCTTTTTTGTTATTTATGGCATTTATATTTATTTGTACGTTTGTTGCTTTAGTGCATGTGAAATACATGCAATGTACTAACTTCTACCTAAAAGTACTATTACTTTTACTGTTATATGACTGTTAGGTGCTTTATTCAACACTGGTGAGAGGTCAGTGTTCTGACTGGTGAGAAATAAACTGGCTTACTGGTCTTCTCAGCTCGAGCCACCTGTCCAGCCACCAGCCAGGCCAGAGCTGTAACTGCAGCCAGTGCGCCTATGTGCAGGAACGGTCCTGTGGCCTGAATCACACACAAACACACATACAAATGTAAAATGCAGTCTGGTGGTCATGTGAGCGCAGACCACACAATTGCCTGGAAATTGAGGTTGGCTGAATCAGATTTACAGCATTATAATTTGTTATAAAACCCCAGAAGCCCTGTGGTGAATTAAATTGAACACTAGTGGCTGGTCTTCCAGACACAGCCTAAGCTTAGACCTCTGTTATCTCCAAGGTAGAGTGCTACATACTACACTTCTGTGCATACTAATGGCTTAGACCTGTCCAGATTTACACCATACAGAGAATCGTTGGTCTCATTTTAAACACAAACTAACTTGGCAATGTTCTTCAGCTCTTTGAAGCCATCAATGCTGAGTGGAACAACACTGACTTCTTTCTGTAAAAGGCTGCCTGCAAGTTTACCCACAAAACTTTGACATTTAAAAAAAAAATAAAAAGGAAAAGCTATCCCATAATAACTCACTTTATCTATTCGTTTAATTCTTGTTAATTTACTGACTAATGATTTGTTATTAAGACCAATAAAAGTTTACTGTTTTGCCATTTTGGTCTTGGCCCATTTTTTTGCATGTGAGTGTACATATTTATTGACAGTGTTGGGCTTTGCTATGCACACACCCATATGCAAATGACTGGGATTTCTTTTTTAAGACATTTATAAGTTTTAAGGGTCGTGATTGTTGGGGCTTATTTTGTTAGAGAGCTAGAATAGCAGGCACTGAAACTTTTTGGAGATCATTAACTTATCTGAAACAGAGTAGAAACCTTTTTTTAAACACACAAAATATCAAAATCTTTACCCAAGAACCTAAAATTATATCAATCTTGAAAATATATTTATCATTACACCTGCAGTTCATTGTATTTGTCTGATTTAATTGGCATTGCTTGGAGCGTATAGCTCTGCAGACAGACTGCAAGGTCACAGCTAATCTCCTGTGAACCCTCTAAACGTTTGAAGATGGAGCGTCTAGCATTTTCAGTGTCTCATATTTTGTATGCATTTTATTTACTGGTTGACAAGTTTCAAAATCTAATATTTTCTGTTAGTAAGAATTTTTACAATTTTCTGCAGGAATTATTATGGGACTTAATTCAGTTCAGATTTTTACCAGATGTAGTAACATTACCTGGATACTTATGTATTATATTTTACGGATACCATAGTTTCAGACACACTGATCTTTCAACACTTTCTGGAGAAGGGCACTGTCTGGGTAAATTTCAGTTCCCCAAGGTCTAAATAGTGTAAATGTACCCTTAAATGTACAACATGGTCCTTATGGTCCAATCCTGTACCTTAAATAAGTTTTAAAGGCATACTACATTCAATTTTCTATAGAAGGGTGTCTGTATCTTTTAATTATTTTTTTAAATAGAGAAAAAGCCTGGAGTCAGAACAGGGTACACAGAGTCAATGCAACTTAAAAAAGTATACCTGAAATTGATTAAGGAATTATGTTCCATAAATGAAAGCAATGAAGACGTATCCTTGAGAGTATCATGCCATTGACACTGTTTGTATCTTGAAATTGTAGCATATGGTATCCCATTGATATTTAATGTAATTTAGCTAAAAACCAGGAGTAATATGTACCCAGAAAATCAATCCAATGCTTCCGATGCCTTTTAGTCAATAAAGGGCAACATATTAACCTTTCTGCACAATTAAAATGCTAAGACGCAAACAATTCACGTCAGTGTGAAATTATCACAGTGGGGTTGACAGGAACAAGACATCCAAAGAATGTAATGCCTCTAAAAGCTCCTTCATAGAAAGATATTACAGATAAAAACTCAGAAAACACATAGATTCACTGGATGTTTTGGATAATAAAGAAGTCGTTGACTGGTTCCTATCATCACTAATGTAAAGAAAACAGAGTTGGTCAGTTTCACTATAATGAACCGTTTCACATAAAAAAAAATTCTGAACAACTTTGTTTTCATCTCAACAACTGAATTATGCAGAAATTATGAAAAATCAGTGGAATTCCCTTTTATGGATAATGCTGAACTAAAGGGCTTAAGATATAGTACATACTTGGAGAGAAATTGAGATGACATCCCATTCCTCTCCCCACATCTGACTGACTGATATCACTCCGATGATTGTAGTCAACAGAGCTGCAGTCACTCCAATCTAAGACATCAAAGTGATAGAGAGAGCAGTCAGGTCACAAAATCAAAGGGATCAGTATAATAATTTAAACGACAGCAATACAAAGAAAAAAAGACAACTGTCTGTCTTATCTATGATTTGACAGGACATGTCAAGTCATTGAGCCTCTGGGAAAAGACCTTGTGTGTGCTAGTGTGTGAAGGCTGACTGGTCTTGGTCTGTGTGCACGCCCTGACAGGGCTATGTTTGGCTGAACACAGCGAAGAGGCTGACAGGTACCTTATGGAGCCAGTGCAAGTTCAGCTGCTGTCCAACCGCTATGTGACACAGTGCTAAAACCTGCAACACACATAAAAAAGCAAAGGCAAACAAGTGAACCACCAACTACTAGAACTCATGGTGTTAGCACATATTCACATGTGTAAATAAACATATTGTGACGGCACAAAGCTAATTTAACACATTCTGAACTACAGATATTCTAACAGGCCCGTGTCCTACATTTCTCTTTTATTTTATTTTGTTCCCCAAGGTCAATTTTTGATGTTTGTGTGTTTTTATTTACAAAAATTCATTTTTACATGACCATTTTCTGACCTCTCTTTATCCCTTAGAATTCCGCAGGCTGTTTTGGTACCAGGCCTTCGAGACTGATATATGTAAATGATATCTGTTCTGATCGATCTCTGTTCTGCCCTGTATTGAATGGGCTGTTCTGCAGCTTAGTTACCCTACAACTTTAATGTGAATGGGAGGGGCTAAACTGCCATGAATAAGCAGAAACATGCAAATGGGTAGGTTTTTGTGACATCACAAAAACAGTGAGTTCAAAACAGGCTGTTTTGCAGGTTTGCTTCCATACATGGACTGTATGGACTGGGGACTGAACAGTACATGTTGAAACTTTAAAAACATGTACATCAAACACATACATGTGCATCAAACTCACATTAAAAAAAGCAAGGAAAGTTTGTTTTTCCATGATATGTTCCTTTTAACATGCGAATGGATGTCTATATGTTACATCTAGCTTATAGAAAAGCAGCCCCACCCTACCAAAGCCATGGCACAGTATCAGTGCCTCAGAGGTGTGAATATTAGATGACATGACAACTCACCATTAAAAATGCAATATATGTAAACCCTGCAGCTGTTGTGGCAAGTATCGGAACCGTTCCGTCACTCCACTCCCCTGACCGGTTATATAAAAACCTGTAAGAGCACAAGAGAGTTACCTAAACAGCATTTGTTTGATGATTATACACTCTGGTGGGAACTGAAAAGCTGAGTCATCACTGCACTCTGAGAAACGCAAAAAGTGAAACAAGTCTCTAAGTATCTCTGGGCCTTGAGCAGCCCAGCTGTAACCCAGCAGGAGAAGGCCATACTGAGGCCCTGCCTGCTAATTGCATTCTTTTACATTATCACTTATTCCATGGCACGGTCTTGCAGGCATTAACTGTAGGTCAAGACTCCCTTTAAGACACAGTCACATACCAAATGTAGTGTGAGTGAGTGAGTGAGTGAGTGAGCGAGCGAGCGAGCGAGCGAGAGGGAGGGTGAGAGAGAGAGAGAGAGAGAGAGAGAGAGAGAGAGAGAGAGAGAGAGAGAGAGAGAGAGAGGGGTGACCCTGAAGAGGAGACCTTGGCGTAAAGAAGGAGGGCACATTTTATTGCTGGTGTATCAGGGTTGTTCTTTATGTATGTGAATGTGAGCCAACATCTGTAATTTAAATGAAGAAACAACAAATAAATATAATATTTTACTCATTTTGTCTTATAAGCTCATGAGCTTTAAAACTATGTATGGTCACTGTCCAAAGAAAAAACAAGTATCTCCAAAATGGAAACTTTACAGGAGAGGGCAAAAACATTCTTCACTTTTATTGTACATGAATGTAAAGATATTTTATTCCAAGTAATTTTAGAGCACTGCTATTGGTCTATTCTTCATGAAATTTTCACACAATGTAAAGGATAGCCACCATACTCAAATGATGCAGAAAACTAACAAAAATGGAGATACATGTTCTTCTTTGGACAGCGACAACATACATAATACAAGTCATAAGTTCGGACACACCTCATCAAAAACGTTTTATTTATTTATTTATTTATTATTTTATAATAGTTTTTTTTATTATTTTCGGCATTTTAGAATTATAATGAAATCAGCAAAACTATGAAATACTTCATATGGAAACACTACAGTCACAAAATGTTTAGATGTTTAGACACTGCCCTGCCTCATTATAATGCAACTGACTGGCTGAAATGCATTAATGATGACAGACATTCCACTTCAATTAACTTTTAATGAGAAACATATAGTAATCATGATGATATGCTGACAGTAAGTCCAACACTACATTTTTCCATAAATGTGTCCTAAAGGAAAACTAGTTGTTTATATAGTTAAATATAGTAGTTTATGTAGTTACATTTTTTAGACATATTGGTCATATTGGACATCAATTTGAATATTTATGTTAGTTTTAGAAACAACTTTGAATCATAAACCTTCAGATCAAAATTGTATATATACATACATATGTGCTTATGATTTGCAGACAGTCTGCAGAGACAGAGAGAAAAAACAACTCAGCATGTCTTGAAATAGAGTTGCACGTAATCCCCTCTGACAGAGGCCCATCCATGTCCAGATTAAGGCAAAAGAAGGATTATCTGAATTCTGTTTGGGGAACCATGCGCAGTGTGCCAAAATATCTGTTCACCCATGAAAGCCACTAAAAGGCCATTAATATTTTCTAAAAAAAGAAGAGAATAGTGTTGTATACAACATAATTCCATAGACAATACTCAACCTACCATGTTGCTTTTACATCACAAAAATGTAATATTTAAATAATTAAGGCCAAATAATGACATAATGACCTTGTACTCACCAATTGAATTCATTATAGTCATTGTGTGCTTCCCACCAAAAGTAAAACCACACCAACAGCAGAAAAAACGTCCCAAAGAGAATGAAGGACCACAAACACTCCCACTGCAATTGAAAACAGAGAAAAACACATACGCAGTCAGTGAATTTGGAAAATAGCAACCTTTTGTTGTACATCGCATGTTCATCTTCTCACCATAACTACACTATGTTGCCCAAAAGCATCTAATTAATGAAATAACTTGCTATGATGCAGCCCCACATGAGCCTAACTAATCACCAGTACCTGAGCTCACTAATTCTCTTGTGGTTGAGCGCAATCAAATCCTCACAGCAATGTTTCAACATCTTGTGTAAAGCCTTCCCAGAATAGTAGAGGCTGTTACTGCAGCAAAAAGGGGACAAACTCCCTATTAATGCCTTTGTTTTCACAAAAACATTGGTGTCTACAGAGGTTTGGACATATTTTGCAACAATTATGCTGGCTTAACATTCAGCTGCATTATCAGTGAATGAGAAACAGACTGATCCACCCTGTGGCTATGAACCAAACTAGGTTTACACCTTCAAAATGATCAGTCGAGTTTAGAGATCTTCTGAAAACAGAAAAGAAAAATCAACACAAAAAGGTTTCTAAGATATATTCACTATGAAACTATGAAATACAATAAGTCTGGTTCCATCAAGCTCCTCCAGAAACGAGATTTCCCTTTCATCACTCTCCCATTATGAAGATTAATTTGATTTAATCCGTTCTGTCGGACACAGGAGAGTAGGAGGCCCCCGATGAGCAATCAGCTGTGCTATTTCATATCATTTCATACTTCTTCATCAGCCATGCAGACAGCTCTGAACAAGACCATAGCTGTTAACTAATGTAACAGTGAGCTTCTGTTTGACACAGGTGTGAAAGAAGGTGTCACAGCACATTAGAACGAGTGATGAACATCTGAAAGCAATGCTGTTTAGATTAATCAACTGAAGAGACAACAATGCTTACAGAATGAGTCATTTTTTTCTCCTTTTAAACCCTGATTTGATTAAACTACTGTCACGCTTTCAGTGACAGAGAGCAGAAAGCAGCTCCCTTTAGACCACATTTCCCTTCTAGCTGTTAACACAGCTGGATCCAGGTGTTCAGCTCTCTGTAGTTGGCTCAGGTGTGACTGGCACTGGAACAGTACAATACTGGACTGGGTGGGGGACCCCAAGGACTCGTTTGGACCCCCTCTCCTCTTCCACGACCTCACTGAATCTCTGTTTTTCTTTCTTGTGAAAAGCTGATAGGATTGCATGCCATTAGTGCCGCCTCTCTCCTTTCTAAATATCGCCACCCCTAGGGATTGAACCACTTCCTCAAACTATACCTGAGTGCACTAATGTTATAGCCGACCTGTTTAAAATGAAATGCAATACAATGAGACTGTGTTCTTCACCAATCCTAATATTACAGTGATCACTGATACAGGTACATTTCTTTAGTATTTCTTTACTATTACTTACTACGTCAACGTTTCTCTACTATGCTATTCCATAACGCTAGTTGAGTAATTTAGTAATAGTATCAGACTGATATCAGCAGTAAATGCTGGATCGGATATCTTTGCTTTCATTAATTACAGAATCTATCCTGAAATAAGACTCACTCACTCTGTGTGATGTAACGTTGCTGTGCATTTCTTCCTGTAGGGTAGTAAAGTGTTTGAGTTCTTATTTGTTTATTTTTATTTCTTTATTTTTAAAATTTATTAAATTATCAAAAATGCTGTCCCAAGTTTTCATGTCACTACCAAAACACAATGACTTTTAGTCCATGGGCAGAGCCCTATTTTAGCCACACCCCTGCATTTTAGAGCAGGAAGTGAGGCTGCATCCCTGTCCCTCATTGCCACATGGTGAGCAGTTAGATCCCACTGTTTTGAAGTAATGTATCTCAAAGTCTGAAAATCAGAGCGGAACATTAATAATGTCACTACTGAAACATATTTTCTGCAATTATGTCACCTTTTTTGTGTTTTGTTGAAAAATATAATTATTTTATTTGTGAGCAACTGTTTTGGCAAGGTGCTAGTCATGTGCTGGCTGCTGTTTTTGAGTTATGATACAAATAAGCTAAAATTGTAAATACCAAAACAGTCACTACTGAAACATTTGATAGTGTTACTATTGTTTTTGTAGTGATAAACTGGAATGTTCAATAATTTCTTTTAATAAAATAAACATAAGCTACAGAGTCGCAAAAAGTCTGCTACATATATATATATATATATATATATATATATATATATATATATCACTCACACTATCATATAATATCACACTAGATATAGTCACACACACAGAGAGAGAGAGAGGGTCAGATGGAAAACATTAATTTGTCAGTAATTAAATGCTGTCAGTGCTGACAGTTCAACTAATCAGAAGCAGGTACATTTCCCTCCTGTATTCAGTTTACATCCTCTTACACAGACACACACCTAATGAAGCAGTATATTGTATTCTCCTGTATATCTTACTGGCTTTTTTCAACAGGCAGTACAATTTGAGTAACATTTTACCGTTTGTATTGACCATCCAACAGGCTCAGTATAGCCACAGATTGATATGTAATAGCTCATATTTATAGATTTTAAAAAGCTACCGCATAAACTGAACTAATCTCAATGTGTACAAAGTTTATATCAACCATTTACATTTGAACACAATTTCTGTAGATGTGGAGGTTAGTTCTACCACCATTAAAACATATTTCAGGTCAGATGTATGCGCAAAGGATTACACTGATACTCTGATAGCATTCTTAAACATGGTCCAAGTGGAGACTGCACATCTCTGAGGCATTTGAAGAATCCTTGTGATTGGAGCAGCCAGTTACATAGCAGTCTAGAAATGCAGCTCACTTAGCACATAGCTACACATTCCAGAGAGTAAAGCTCTGCAACATGACTAAAAAGAATGCTAAAAAGAAATGCTGAGTACTTCTTGTGTGTGTTTATCCATTTATGACTCTGGTCTCCCAAGCAGGAGAAAATAAAGAGTTAATCACTACAGTGCACAATAATCATGCACTTGCATAGGGGCAAGCACAACCCTAAAGAAAACTATGAAGAAAACATCAATAGGCTACATATTTCATACATACAGGCCACTTCATCTGCCTTTGAAAAGAAGGTCCATACTGCTATTTATTCAGAATGTACTTTAATCTCGCATTTCAAATATGCATATAAAAATACTCCAGTTTAAAGGTGATCAATATTGCAATATTGTATCACTGTCATGATAAATCGTGTTGTCGTGGTAACACACTCCTCATATGTGGATACTGCGCATGATTAAAGAACACAGACCACTGTTTCATTAAAAAAAAGTGCAATTAATGCTGTTTAGTTGGATTTACTGTAGTACAATGTGTGAAATGTTGAACAGAAATTGTACACAAGAATGTTTTCAAATGTAGCACTACTAGTGCACTGTGCCTGTAAGTCGAAATGTCGTGACACGTATTGCGTATGATGAATAAGTTGATAAGTACTGTGATATGATTTTTTTGCTATTTTGTGCAGCCCTGCGCTACACACATTCAGAAAGAGAGCAGTTAGAGTATAGGGGGCACCTCTCTTTTCCTAGAGCAGGCAGAGGTGCATGCCTTGCTCAAGAGCATTAAGGTCAAACGTAGACCAAGAGAAATGTCAATGTCCAGTCAAAATGGCTTAAAGTACAAACGATTCATTTTTCAGATAGAGACAGAGATCCTCAGGAGATATTTCTGAGGAGATTAAATATAAAACAATCCATTTGAATTAGGGAGGGGAAAGTAGGTAAAAAGGATAGTAGACAGGATAATTCCAAAACTGGAATTTAAAAAAATCTTAACTTTCATCTTTGAGAGAGAGGAGAAAATCAAGCTCCACTGTTGCTTCAGATCTGAAAAAATCCACAGGTCTTTCTGTCCATCCTTCCACTGTGAGAAGACAACTCAACACTATGAGTCTGAAAGGATGTGTAGCTGTCAAGAAGTCATTAAAAAAGAAGTGTTCTGGTGCTCTCTGGACTGACCATTCCAGAGTCCAGAACTTATCATTCAATGTGGGATTATTTGAATCATTAGAATTTGGAGGTGTGAAAACATATCCCTGCAGATTTCTTCAAAAAAGCTGAAGGCAAGACTCCTGAAAAGCATGGGAGCTGTAATAAAGGTTAAGGATGGAAACACTAAATACTGGAAAAAATTGTTGTTGGGACTTCTGTGTAATTACATTACAGATATGGTGCTGTAAAACACCATATAACATCAAAATAAACACACATAAATACAGTATAAGTAAAATGTAACAATTTTTGTTAAATTATGTTTAATTTTGTTAAATTATGTTTAAAATATGTTTAATTAAAAACATATTATCTTGTGAGCTGGCTATAAGAACACACGTTTGATTCCAGATTTACCATTATCTCGGTAAAGATATATATATATATATATCAACAAAGCCACTGCATGGATTTGTTGAATTCCATGAGCAGCACACTGATTAAATTTAATGAAGGACTGATTAGTCAAACTAGGTATAAATAACTACAAATAATACTAAACTGCCATGAGAAGAGGTATGGAAATAGTCAAATGAACACACTGACATATATAAAATCACTACATACTGTATTAATATTGTTTGTATTTATTCTAATATTAGAAGCTTTTGCAAAGTACTGTATGTTTTCTACTTTTTTTCTGATGCTGAAAAATGAAGAACGTGTACTTAATGGCCACTTGGACTGAAAATTAAGTAAATGAAGGGTGGTCTCAGTACTGTAAAGCACTGTAAACATGAATTCAGTCTTTTAGTGAAAGCTAATAGAAGTGCTAACTTTGCATATTACTGCAGTAAATGAGCCAGATTCAGAAGAAAACAGCCCACAGTTGCAGTATGTAAACATGCTCCTCCTGCAGAGGGAGTGCATGCACACCGTATAATTATTGTGGTGACAGACGGAGGGGATTAAGTCTGACAGGGCACATTCAGCTCCCCTTGCAAAAAGAAAGGTGCTGATACTGGAAGTTTGCCCTTAAAGAGGCTTCCATATTCACCAGGCTGCATTCATTT